AGCCAGGGCTCTGTAGAGAGACCTTGTCACAAAATTATCCAAAGCAAAACACATTTCCATTCTTTGGTTATTCAGAGAGCTCAGGAGTGAGAGGGATCTTTTCTATTTTTCTAAATAAAAATTTAAAAATGTTTATTACAGTGTGTGTGTGTGTGTGTGTGTGTGTGTGTGTGTGTGCCTGCAGCACACATACCACAGTAACTGCACAAGTTCTAAGGTCAGAGGACAGTTGGAAGGAACTGGCTCCCTCTTTTCATCATGTGGGTCCCAGGAACTGAACTCAGCCGTTGCCTTATCTGCTTCACCATCTTGCCAGTGTTGGATCCAAAGCCCCCTTACCCCCAGCTACCCGTAATAATTCGAATGACTTGTCCACCCCTCGCTCCCTTGAGCTGCCTCGCTGTCCTTGCTATTTTTCTGCTGTCTCCCTTGTGCTTTCTCATCTCCCACACCAAACTTCATCTCCTGCCATCTCCACTGCAGCTTTCCTAGCCCTGGCCATGTCCAGTCTGCTGCTTCGCTCAGCTATGGAGTCTGCGAGACGCCTCTGGATCTTTTCTCTCGTAACTACAATAAAAACCCTTTCCAGCCGGGCGGTAGTGGCACACGCCTTTAATCCCAGCACTCGGGAGGCAGAGGCAGGTGGATCTCTGTGAGTTCAAGGCTAGCCTGGTCTACAAGAACTAGTTCCAGGACAGGAACCAAAAAGCTACAGAGAAACCCTGTTTCGAAAATTAAAAAAAAAAAAAAAAAACCCTTCCCCCTAATGGGGAGGTCATGTCTGCAGTTTCTTTTTTTTTTAAATTATTTATTTATTTATTATTTATTTATTATGTATACAATAGTCTATCTGTGTGTATGCCGAAGGCCAGAAGAGGGCACCAGACCTTATTACAGATGGTTGTGAGCCACCATGTGGCTGCTGGGAATTGAACTCAGGACCTTTGGAAGAGCAGGCAATGCTCTTAACCTCTGAGCCATCTCTCCAGCCCTCTTTTTTATTTATTTATTTATTTTTTGATACAGGGTTTCTGTGCCCCCTTGAATACAACTGGCCCATCATTTTTGCTTCTACAGTGAATTTATGTTTATGTCAAGCATTCCATTAGTCTATTGTCTGTGAGATAAAATTTCCTTTGCAAGTAACTAAAACGTCTAAGAATACAAGGCAGCGAGCTCTGGGCATGTGTCTCATGCCTTGAATCCCAGTGCTAGAAAGGCAGAAGAAAATAGATCTCAGTGAGTTCGAGGCTGGCTGATCTTGATCTGCAAAGGTAGTTCCAGGCTAGACAAGGCTACATAAACAAACCCTGTTTCAACCTTAAAAAAGAAAATAAATATACAAAGCAAAGCCACAATGGTTTTCATTCATCTGTTAATGCTGTTTATCATCACTTTATAGTTGTTAAATTATGTAAAGGTGGGGATGAAAAAAGGTAGAGAGAAAGGAATTCTAATAAGAAAAAATAATCAGAGTCAACTGAACTCACCATCCTGTGCCTCAGATCATCTGGGAGCGGGAGGGATGCATACAGACCTTGCTGTCCATCACAGGGGCAGACCCCGGGAACTGAGTCTTTCAAGTGAGAAAGCCCTCAGGCTAGAGAGCCCCAGTGGAATCAGCCTCCTCAATCCTTTCCTCATTAGCATTTTTATAGAGAAGAACCAAGAAATCAATTCAAGGTTCAGGCTTATCCTTCTGTCCAGGTGGCTTTTGTCTCTGAGGTCCCCTCCCCCTCTTATCTTTCTGTCACTCTGAGCATAGCTGGGGAGTTTGTGGGCACCAAAACCAGGCGCTTGCATTCTCCTTTAAATTTATTTTTTAAAGATTTATGGATTTATTGCTTTTTGATTTTGTTTTGTTTGGAAACAGGGTCTCTCTATGTAGCCTTGGCTGACTTGGAACTTTCTATATAGACCAGGCTGGCCTCGAACTCATACAGATTCACCTGCCTCTCCTCCTACTGGGGTTAAAGCTTATGCCACTGCAAGCAAGTAAATATTTATTTTTATTATTTTATTTATGAGTATATCATGGTGTCTGTCTGTATGAATGGAGGCTACATGTGTGTGGGTAACAAAGGAGGTAGAAGGGGGCTTTGGATCCCTTGGAGTTGGATCCCTGTAGCTGCCTGATAGTACTGGGAACTGAATTCAGGTCTCCTAGAAGACCAGCAAATTGTTTTGACTGTTGAGCTATTGCTCCAGCCTTCGCTACTTCTCTAAAATAGTTTTTTGGGTTTTGTTTTGTTTTGTTTTACAATATTTTACGTGTGCATGTGCATTTTGTATGTAGCAGGGGGAGGGTTTGCAATTTTTAGTTTCTGAGGACTCTGTGTAACAGCTCTGACTGTTCTGGAACTTGCTTTGTAGACCAGACTAGCCTCAAGAGATCTGCCTACCTCTGCCTGCTGAGTACTAGGCCACTATTACCACCACAGTGGGGTTTGCAGACTTTTAAATCCACTGAATCAGGGTTTCACAGAGATCCGCCTGCCTCTGCCCCCCAAGTGCTAGGATTAAAGGTGTGCGCCACCACCGCCAGACTAAGTTCACTGATCCTTGGCAGCCCTTCCAGATCCTTTCTTTCTGTTGTCAGGGAGAATTCTTGAGAAGAAGCTCCTAAAGACACTAGTTGATTAGAGCTACACAGGCTAGCCTGAAACTCAGGATTCTCAGGCCTCTGCCTCTTTTTGTTTGTTTGTTTTTCAAGACTGGGTTTCTCTGTATAACAGTATTGGTTGTTCTAGAACTCAATTTTGCAGACCAGGCTGGCCCCGAACTCACAGATATCTGCCTGCCTCTGCCTCCCAGGTGCCAGGATTAAAGGTATGCACTACCACCTCCCGGCTATACCTCTGCCTCTTTAGTGCTGGAATTGCAAGTGTGAGCCACTTAAAGAAACCCAGCCCTTTTTTCTTTTTAATGTTGAATTCTCTGCCTAGAGAGGTTCCTGCCATCATTTGCTCAGCATACAGCCTATGTGGAAGTGTGGGGACAAACTTCCACAATACCCATGCTTCGCCTCTCCATGTAATGATGATGGATTTGGGGAAAAGACAGTTCTGAAAACTATCATGGGTTGTGGGGGGGCCGATGGGCTTGGTGACAGGGCCCCCCACAGACAGACTGTTGGTGTTATGTTGAATTAAGAGCGGCTGGGCTGCATCCCCGGCACCCGGCCACCCATACGGCTAGCTTTACCCGAAATAATTACACGGAAACTGTATTCTTTTAAACACCACTTGGCCCATTTCTATCTAGCCTCTTCTTGGCTAACTCTTGCACCTGGACTAGCCCATTTCTAATAATCTGCTGTAGCCCACGAGCTGGCTTACCAGGAATGATCTTAACCTGTGTCTGCCTGGAGTGGGAGAATCATGGCGACTCCCTGACTCAGTTTCTTTCTCCCAGCATTCTGTTCTGTTTACCCCACCTACCTATGTTTTAACCTATGAGGGCCAAGCAGTTTCTTTATTACTTAACCAATGAAATCAACAGATTGATATATGACACTCCCACATCAGTGTTATTCTTAAAATGATCCACGGGCGGGCTGGCGGAGCCCGCCGTGCGACAAGCGGCTACAGTTTCCCACCAGCAGGAGGGCACGCGCCACACGGGCGGTGGTGGCAGGTAACAGACACATAAACACAAAAGATAGGCATAAAGGTAAAATATTTATTACAGGAGAGAGGGAGAGAGAGAGGGAGAGAAAGAGAGAGAGAGAGAGAGAGAGAGAGAGAGAGAGAAGATAAAAGGGGAGAAAGATAGAACAAGTGCACACGCCAAGAAAGCAGAAAAGGAAGGGGGCAAGATGGCAGGCAGGTCAGAGGTAATGGGAGTGGGCGTGGCTTGTCCCTTAAAGTGACAGGGAAGCACAGGAGTTGGTCTGTCAGTTTTACAATAAAGCTTGTTTTTCTCCCTCAGCTCCTCCATCTTTCAGGTCTTTGATAGTGACAATAGCCAGATTTGAATATAAGGCACATATATACATATTTCTTAAGGAAGAGGGTGTTTGGGGGAGCCAGCCAGCCTGCTGACACTGGCACTAGCCGCTACACAGTTGCAAGCCCCTTTATTTCTCATCCCTGATGTTTCCAATCTTATTGTTTAAACATCTTAGTTATGTATGTTAATGTAGTATGTGTGTGTGCCACAGCATGAATCATGTGTGTGGAAGTCAAAGGATAACTCGCAGGAGTTAGTTCTCTATTTCCACACTAAATGGGTCCTGGGATCAGACTCAGGTTGTTGGGCTTGAGAGCCTTTACCCATCAGGCCATCTCACAGGTCCTTCCTTTTTTATTTTTGAGACAGGGTCTCACTATGTATCCCTGATTTTCCTGTGTTTTACTGTATGGACCAGGCTGGCGTCATAGAGATCCATTTGCCTCTGCCTCGCAAGTGCTTAAAGGTGTGTGCCACCACCACCTGGCAGACCTTCCCTTCACATTGTATCCATATCCTCCTGGCACAACTAGGGAGGTGATCATGCTCTTTGTCTGTTCCGCCCACTCAGTGGTGGGTGACAACCTCCCTCATCTGTCTCTAGCTGATTCTCTGTTAGCTGTTAGCCAGGGTGAGCATCACCTGTCACGCCCACCTCCATATGTTTCTAGTCTGACCCTTGGAGGGGTGCTGCTGGTCATCAGACCCATTCTCTTTGTTCTCACTTATTTGTATTCATGACAGACTCACCATTTTGCTACACCAGAGAGCCATCTCATCAACTGACAACAAACGTCTCCAAAAATCCACTCCTTTAGTGCCACAAACAGCTTGGTGAGCATAGGAATGACTGGTTTTCTCTGTGTAGCCCCGGCTGTCCTGGAATTCTCTCTGGAGACCTAGCTGGCCTCTGCCTCCTGAGTGCAGGGATTATAGGTGTGTGCCAGCACCACATGGCTTCTAGACCTTTTTTTTTTTCTTATTGTTGATGGTGTTCATGGGGCTGAATGAGGTAACTGGCAACCGTTGGTTTGTGGTTTGGCTTACAGTACAAATCGCCTTAGTATTTGGTGCAAGAGTATTAGACTATGTCTTCAACCTGTGCCAAGGTAAATTTGACTACCTGGAGCGGCTGTCGGACAAACTGCTACTGAAGATCATCTGCTATCTGGACCTCGAGGACATTGCCAGGCTCTCGCAGACATCCAGCAGGTTTGCCAAGGTAACAGTCCCCGCTGCTGTGTTGGCTGCACCAGCAGCACCAAGAGCCCTCCCACTAACCTCATGGAATCCGTATTGCTCTTTTTCCTTATTTATTTAGGTTTTTGTTATTTTATTGCTTGATTGATCTATCTATTTAATGTAGATGGACATTCGCCTGCATGGGTGCATACTGTGTGCATGCAGTGCCCATGGAGGCCAGAAGAGGGCACCTGATCCCCTGGAACTAAAATTAGAGGCAGCTGTGAACGGCCATGCCATGTGATGTGCTGGGAACAGAACCTAGGTCCTCTGCAAGAGCAGTCAGTGCTCTTAACTGCTGAGCCATCTCTCCAGACCCTGAGTACCTTTCTGCTTATCTATCTATCTATCTATCTATCTATCTATCTATCTATCTATCATCTATCTATCCATTTATCAAAATAAGGATTTATGTAGTATATGCTAGCCTTGAACTTCTTTTTCTTTTCTTTCCCCTTTTTCCTTTCTCTCTCTCTCTTCCTTCCTTCTCCCTTCCTTTCTCTCTCTCTCTCTCTCTCTCTCTCTCTTTCTCTCTCTCTCTTTCTTGTTGTTGTTTGGTTTGATTTTTCAAGACAGGATTTCTCTGTATAGCCCTGGAATTCACTCTACAGGTCAGGGTGCCTCTGCCTTACAAATGCTGCGCTTAAAGGCGTGTGGCACACCCAGTTTAGCCTTGAACTTCAAATCTTCCTGTTTTTACCTCCCAAACATTGTGATCATAGGTTATGTCACCATGACCAGTTTATTTTTTCTTTGAGATAGCTGAGACAGTATATCTGCAATCTTGCCTCAGCCTCCCAAATTCTGGGATCGTAGATGTGACCTCACAGTGCCTAGTCTACTTGTGTTTAATGTCCACAGCTATTGGTTGAGTCCTGCCTCTGTGACAGACAGAAGCAACCAAGATGACATTATTCCCACACTAAAGGAACTTACTCTCAGATATCAGGTTGCTACACAGATACAGGTTGTGGTATAATGTGATGGGTTTGATAAAAAGAAGTGGGCAAGGTACAAGGACTGGGTGTTGAGTGGTTTCCTGTGCCTGGCTTCTTAGAAGTGGGTCACTCTATCTGCATTTTGAGTGCAAAATAGGGGACATTTGGGGCTGGAGAGATGGCTCAGCGGTTAAGAGCATTGCCTGCTCTTCCAAAGGTCCTGATTTCAATTCCCAGCAACCACATGGTGGCTCACAACCATCTGTAATGAGGTCTGGTGCCCTCTTCTGGCCAGCAGACATACACACAGACAGAATATTATATACATAATAAATAAATAAAAAAAAATAGGGGACATTTGTTGTAGGTTGAGTGGTGGGCAGCATCCCGCCACCCAGCTAGCTTAACTCCCGAAATAACCACATAGAAACTGTATTAATTAAAACACTGCCTGGCCCATTATCTTTAACCTCTTATTGGCTAACTCTCACATATTAGTTTAACCCATCTCCATTAATGTGTATTGCTTTTTGACTGTTGGCTTACCGGCATGAGTCTAACCAGCCAGCATCCATCTCGGGCAGGAGAACAATGGCATCCACCACACTGCCTTTTTCCTCCCAGAATTCTGTTTTGTCTTCCCTGCCTACCTGAGTTCCACCCTATCAACTAGGCCAAGGCAGCTTCTTTAATAACCAATGAAAGCAACACAAATACAGAAGGGCCTCCTACACCAGGCATTCAAGACAGGGAATCTTCCAAGCCAAGGAACAGAGGTAGAGGCAGCATGGTGGCACTCAAGGATGAGCCGAGAGTATCTCGGTTAGGAGTATGCACTGCCAGCTGGTGGCACACTCTCTTAGGAGGCATCGGCAGGTGAGTTTGAGGCTAGGCTGGTATACACCAGTCAGTGTTACACAGTAAGACCCTGCAGTAGAAATGAGTTCTGCCTCCAGCCCATGTCAGGAGGCTTGCCAACTAACACCCTTTCCTGGCTTCTTCACGTACCTGAACTCACATGTACACACATACACGTAAATCAAAATAAATCTTTTTAAAAACTGTTTGCTGGGCATTGGTGCATACCTTTAATTCCAGCACTCAGAAGGCAGAGGCAGGTGGATCTCTGTGTGTTTGAGGCTTGCCTGGTCTACAGAGTGGGTTCCAGGGCAGCCAGGGCTACAGTCTAAAAAAAAAGAAAGAAAGAAAACCTAAACAAACACAAAAAAAAACCCAGAAAACCAAACCAACCAACCAAACTCAAGGAGTAACTGACCTATACCCATTTCAACATGGGCAGTTTTGGTGGTCCTGTGTTCCTGTCCTCCCACCCCAGGCTGATCAGGGAAACTCTGACCCTTGGTACTCTCAAGCCTTAGCAGCACGTGCTGAGGCAATAATGCCAAGTTCAGCCTGTTAGGACAGGGCCCGGTTTCCTGCCTCCTCAACCATCCCTGCAGTGTTTAAGTGTCTGTGTCCCACAGGCAAACACATTAGAATGTGACATTGCACCCTCATTTTGGCTCAGCTAGAGTGCGTTGCTGGCACTCGAAGAACCTTGGCTGGCTCAATATTCAGCTGTGAAGTCATGGAGGAACATCCACATAAAAGAACAGGTTTTCCCAGGTGGTTCAAAGGACACTGTTACCCAAAGAGTCAACAGTCCCTCCCCCAACAATAACACAGTAAAATGTCTTCACGATTAGAATTCATTTTCAGTAATATAATTTATTGGGGTGCAGAATTCATTTATTTCTATTTATTTTTGAGACCAGATCCCATCATGAGTTAAGTTGCTGGGGAACTCACTGTGTAACTGAGGCATGGTCCTCTTTCCTCAGAACCCCAGGTGCTGGACTTGTAGGTGTGTGTTGTCACATCTGGCTTAGCCCCCCCCCCCCTCCAGCCCCAACCACCTTCCCAGCCAGGCTTTCCCAGCTCGGCTCTCCCAGAACTTGCTGCGTGCACTGTCATTGTGGGAGTGCACCCAGTGGCAGCCGGCTATGGGGTGGTCCCTTGCCGACCCCACCCAATATTTTGTTCTTTATATGAATTTATTTATTTTGAGAGAAAGTCTTATTATGTAGCCTTGGCTGGCTTGGAACTCATAGATATCCCCCTGCCTCTGCTAGAATTAAAGGTATGTGACTTCACCCCCTGCCAGGCATTCATACTTTAAGGAGAATGTTGAAGTAACCAAAACCCAGTGGTAGGGACCTATGAAAGCTTCTGCCAGGGCCTGGATTTGTTTCCTCCCCTCCATACAGGGGCTCAGCAGGATCTGACATCTGGTGCTCTCTCTCCTCACACTGGGTGTGCACTACTTCCCATCCAGCTCTCAGGCACCGATTCTCTCATCCTCACCGACCTGCCATTATTGCCGCACAGTTTTGAATTTGCACTGAGTCCTGTCCCCAGAGCCTGACAGTCAGGCTGTCCTTAGTGGTTGGTGTGTGCACATGGGTACACGTGTGTGCATGGGTACACGTGCCATGATGCGTGTATGGAGACAGATGACAACGCTGTGGGGTCAGTTCTCATCTTCCATCTTTATGTGTGTCCTGGAGGTTGAACTTGGGTTGCCAGGATTGCGTGGCAAGTGCCTTTATCTACTTTGCCATCTCCTCAGTCCTTTTTAAAACTCACAGGGTAACCATGAATGACCTTAAATTTCTGATCCTCAGAAGTCCTGGGGGTACAGGCATGTGCCACCATACCCAATTTACGAAGTGCAGTGGATTGACTCTAGGCCCTAATGCCTCCTGGGTAAGTAAGTACTCTGCCACCTGAGTTACAGCCTCAACTTTTTTTTTTTTTTTTTTTTTGAGACAGGGTCTCATTATGGAGCTTTGTTTGGCTTTATGTGGATTAGGCTAACCTCAAACTCACAGAGATCTGCCTGCACCTTTCTCCCAAGTGCTAGGATGGAAGGTCTGCACCATCGTGCCCGTCTTTTAAAATTACATTTATTTTCTTTATTTCTGTGTGTGTTCACACACACTTGTGTGCCACAACATTAGTGTAGGGGTCAGTGGACAAACTATAAGAACTGATTCTCTTCTGTTTTGTGGGTTCTGGGGAATCAAACTCAAGTTCTAAGGTCTGGCCTTCACCTACCCAGCCATTTTGTCAGCTCCTCAGATTTTTAAGTACCCCTGCACACGCGCGCGCGTGCACACACACACACACACACACACACACACACACTTAACATCCTAGTGTTTTTGCATGTGCATGTTCACTAGGGGTTGAACCCAGAGCTTTACATATACTGAAAGGTCCATACTGAAGCCAGGTGTGGTGGCTCACCTGTTGTTTACATACACTGAAAGGTCCACACTGAAGCCAGGTGTGGTGGCTCACCTGTTTTTTAGCCTTTGAGAGGCAAGGCAAGAGGACAGCTGTGAGCTTGAGACCACTCATCTAAACAGCGAGCTCTTGGCTAGTTAGAGCTACAGTGAGGCCCACATGTGGCATTTGTACTAGTGTGTTCTACATTCCTTAACTTTCATCCCTATCAAACTGAAGACTCTTATCACGTAAGTTTGTATGTCTTCTCTGATAGAGTGCCTAGCCTGGGTCAGCTCCAAGGGTATGGCGTTTTATTTTATAGAGGATATGCCTTAGTAAAGAAGGGTCTGGAGCTGGAGAGATGGCTTGGTGGCTAAGAGGGCTTGCTGCAGCCTGGTGGTGGTGGTGCACACCTTTAATTCCAGCACTGGGAGGCAGAAGCAGCCGGATTTCTGTTAGTTTGAGGCCAGTCTGGTCTACAAGAGCTAGTTGCCGGACAGGCTCCAAAGCTACAGAGAAACCCTGTCTCGAAAAACCATAAACAAACAAATAAATAAAGGCTTGCTACTTTTCTAGAAGACTTGTTTGGGTACAGCTTTCATGTCACAACTACCTGTAACTCCAGTTTCAAATCCTTTTGTTTTGTTTTTCAAGCCAGGGTTTCTCTGTGTAGCTCTGATTGTCCTGGAATTCACTTTCTCCAGACTGACCTCAAACTCAAAGATCCATCTGCCTCTGCCTCCCAAGTGCTGGATTAAATATGTGTACCACTACTGCCAGGCTTCAGCTCCAGGAGATCCAGCATCTCCTTCTGACCTTTGAGAAACCATCACCCAAGTAGCATATGCACACAGATACAAAATAAAAGTAATTCTTAGGGCTGGAGAGATGGCTCAGCAGATAAGAGCACTGGCTGCTCTTCCAGAGGACCTGAGTTCAATTCCTAACAACCACATAGTGGCTCACAACCATCTATAAGAGGATCTGATGCCCTCTTCTGACCTGCAGGGATATATACATGCAGAGCACACAAAATATAAATACATTTTTAGAAACTTATTTATTTATTTATTATGTAGATAATATTCTGTCTGTGGGTATGCCTGCAGACCAGAAGAGGGCACCAGACCCCATCACAAATGGTTGTGAGCCTCCATGTGGTTGCTGGGAATTGAACTCGGGACCTCTGGAAGAGCAGGCAATACTCTTAACCTCTGAGCCATCTCTCCAGCCCCCATTTTTAGAAACTTTTAAAACATTATAAAAATAATCTTAAAGCAGGGGCTATATCAATTTGTTCCTGTTTTTGAAATAATGATTTTCAGTTGAGGATCTGGTGGGCTCAATGCTGGATTTTTTGGTGTAAACAAATGAAGATGCATCCTCCAAGCTTGGCTGACTGGAGGGCACCCTGCAGCTCTTGGATGCCAGAAAGGCAGAGTTCTACACTTGTCAGATGGAGGGCCAGTCCTGAACTGAAGGAAGTTCCCAAGATATGCAGTCACAGGGTCACCTGCCTGGGAGCCTGCTGACTGGCCTTAAGTCAGAACGTCTATGTTATCCTTTTCCTTCCAACTGCACCAGAATTGACCAAGTGTTTACAGAGGAGATGTTCAGACACACAGGAAAAGAACAGTGATGGTTGGGATGTGACTGTGACCGTGCTTTTTATGGCTTAGAAATAACTGAGGTTACTAAGCACGTTTGTTTGCACATGAGACCTGCCCCAGAAAAAAGCAACACCTGGGTGTGGTGTCTCACAATTGGGAGGCAGAGGCAGAGGCAGGAGGATCTCTGTAAGTTTGAGTCCAGCCTGGTCTACATAGTGAGTTCCAGGACAGCCAGGGCTATATAATGAGACCGTGTAACAAACAAATAAACAAACATCCCCAAACAAAACAAAGGACTCTTTACTCTCACATTTTAGCTGAGGAGGCAGATTTTTAATTTTTTAATTATTATTTCTTTTAAATTATGTGTGTATGTGTATAGGGTTGTGTGTGTATGTGTGTGTGTAGGTGTGTGTGTGTGTGTTTGTGTGTGTGCTATGTACAGCTACAACACAGATGTAAAGGTCAGAGGACATTTCACCAGAGTCATTTCTCACCTTCTACATGGATTCCAGGGATCAAAGCCAGCCTTGGGCTTTTCAGGCAAGCAATTTTAACTGCTGAGCCATCTCACTGGCCTACAGGGACATTTATTTTCCTTGATCCACAAACTCCCATTGAAGAGAATTCCCATCTCTAGACAAACAGGTAATGTACCTGGTGAACAGGTGAACACACAATTGTCAGGCCTCCCATTCTGTGGCAGGTTTGGGGATGCTGAGGGGACTTAGAATATGTGTGTGTGGTGTCTTGAAACAGAGTCTGACTGGTCAGCCCTCGTCGACCTGGAACATGCTCTGTAGACCAGGCTAGCCTCAAACTTGAAGACTTGACTTTTGCTATTCCTAGTTAGAATGTGTAACCCCTAGTAGAGGAATGTTGAAAATTGGGTAAGATAATGAATGACTTGTAAATCATAAAAGGGTTTTGGGGCTGGGGGTGGGGGCTCATGCCTGTATTCTGGAGGTTCAAGTAGGATTGTTGAGAAGTGGAGACCAAGGGTTCATTGTCTTTTTTTTTTTTTTTTTCTGAGAAAGGGGCTTCTCAGTAGCTATGGAGCCAGTCAGTCCTGGAACTCTCTCTGTAGTCCAGGCTGGCCTCAAACTCTCAGAGATCTGCCTGCACAAGACTCTGTCTTCAAAAAAATGGATGGTGTCACACATTTTTAATTCCAGCACTCAGGAATAGAGGCAAGAAGATCTCTGTGAGTTTGAGGCCAGCCTGGTCTATCAACAAGTTCTAGGCTAGGCAGGGTTATATAGCGAGACTCTGTTTAAAAACAAACAATGCACCTACAAAAATGTAGGGGACAAAATGCATGATTCATTGTCACTGCTTATCTTGCATTATGTGACCTATAATGGCTGTTCCGTTGCTGTCTATGTAGATAGGACTTTAAAACATCCATTTAAAGACCCAATCTCATGTAGTTCGGGTTGGCTTTGGATTCTCTGCCTCTGAGAATGACCCTGGACTTCTGAATGAATCCACCCATACCATCCTAGACCACAACATTGCTAGTACAGCCACCTCTGATGCTTCAGAGACTGACCATGACTTGTGTTGGGAAGGAGAGCAGTCAGCACTTCACCTCAACAGCCAACAGAGGCTAGCCTTCAACTTCTGATTCTCCTGCCTTCACCTCCTAAGCACCTCCACAGCTAATGCAGTGTTGGGGCCCAAAGCCCCAGCCTCATGCATACCAAACCAGCATTCTACCAACTAAGCCCTGGGTTTCACATATTTTTTTTGAAATAATTTTTTAAAAATTTTATGTGGATCAGTATTTTGCCTGTATGTATGCCTGTGTGAGGGTGTTGGATCATCTGGAACTGGAGTAAAAGTTGTGAGCTGCCATGTGGGTGCTGGGAATTGAACCTAGGTCCTCTGGAAGAGCAGTTAGTCCTCTTAACTGCTGAGCCATCTCTCTAGCCCCTGGGTTTCACATCTTAACTGAGTGCAGGACTTGTTTTGTCCCACTGACCCTCTGGGTATCTGTAGATACTTGTGTATCTGACAGGAAGAGTTTCTGGAGGCCAAGCATTTGTGGCTGCTGATATCACACAGTACCTCCCAGACAGCAGGCATCCCTTTAATAGTGACAGTGTGAACTAGTGTAGACAGAGGTTTTTGTTCTGCCTGGTCCTGCGGCCATTCAATCCCAAAGAAACATACAGAGGCTTATATTAATTATAAACTGTTTGGCCTATTAGCTCAGGCTTATTATTAACTAGCTCTTATAACTTAAATTAACCCATAATTCTTATCTATGTTTAGCCATGTGGAAGTACCTTTTCCTAGTGAGGCACTCTCATCTTGCTTCCTCTGTATCGGGATGGCTACTGTGTCTGCCTCTGCCTTTCCTCTTCCAGAATTCTCCTAGTCTGGTTGTCACACCTATACTTCCTGCCTGGCTACTGGCCAATCAGTATTTTATTAAACCTATATGAGTGACAAATCCTTACGTGTACAAGAGCATTATCCCACAGCAATGGGATGTGATATAAGCTAGTGGATGGTGTGCCTTAACCCACTTCTGGCTTTTTCCACCCGCAGCTGTGCAAGTCTGACTCACTGTGGGAGCAGATAGTTCAATCGGCCTGTGACACCATCACCCCTGACATGAGGGCCCTGGCGATGGATGTGGGCTGGAGACAGATGTTCTTCACCAACAAGATCCAGCTGCAGAGGCAGATCCGCAAGAAGAAGCAGAGACACGGAAAGCACAAGGAGAAGCATATTTAGGGGCCATGGTGCTTCTCTTCAGGCCCGGATCTTGTCCTAATGACAGCCATTGCTGATTTCAGGAATCACCTGAAAATCCCACTTTGAACACACATACAAATCCACCCAGTGCCTTGCTTGAGCAAACCACCCCTGTCCTGCTCAGGCCAACCCATGGCCCACATACCTAAGGCTACAAGACAGGAAGCCTCTCAGGCCACCACCTTCCCCAACCCCTGCTGCTCCTGAGGGAAAAGGCTTGTTGTGTATGAACTAACAATAAAGAGTTACTACCAGGCTTGTGTTTTTGTATATCAGACAGGGATCCCAAGCCGGACCTTTAGGATGAATAGCTTTGAACTTCTAACCCTCCTGCTTCCCTCTCTCCGCTCCTGGGATTATAGGCTTTCACCACCATGCCCAGTTCATAAGGTGCTGATCTGTGTGCCAGGTAAACCCTCTTCACCATCTCTCCTTCTCCCCCTCTGCTCACACAACACAGTGCTGGGGTTTTGTTAAAGAGAGGATTTCTCTGTGTAGCCCTGGCTGTCCTGGAACTTGCTCTGTAGAAGAGGCTGGCCTTGAACCCAGAAATCCACCCACCTCTGCCTCCTGAGTGCTGGGATTAAAGGTGTGTGCCACCACAGCCCAGCTGTTAAAATATCCATTCTATCTAGGCTTTCCAAAACAGCAGCTCAGCTTTTGATTTTTTTCCCCTTGGTGTTGTATTATGTGCTGTATTATCTGTGGGTGGCTGGGTGTACATGGAGGTGCAGGTGCCTTGGAGGCACCCCAGGAGAGTACAGCTGTTCTCTCAGTTCATCCAACAGAGTCTGTATTCAGTCACTGTCCTTGTGGGCCCAAGGTGTCATCCACCACACAAACAGCCCTGATCTGGCGCTGGAGGGTAGCTGAGAGAGCCCAGACACTCTGCAGGCAACCCTTACTCAGAGGATGTTACCACTCTTTAACAAACCAATCAGTTCTTAAGGGAGGACCACTGCTTTCTGAAGGGAATGTAGCCAGACTGATGGAGGAAGGTCATTGGCTAATAAAGGCACTGCCCTGGCCCATTTTATTGGTTAGAGGATAGGTGGGAGGAGTAAACAGAACAGAACGCTGGGAGGAAGAGGAAGTGAGCTCAGAGATTCCACAGCTCTCTCGGGAGCAGACGCCTGAGAGAGACGCCATGCTCCTGGCTCCTGGGCAGACACATGCTAAGAAGCTCCGACCCAGGATGGACATAGGCTAGAATCTTCCCGGTAAGCGCACCTTGGGGCGCAACACAGATGATTAGAAATGGGCTAAATTAATATGTGAGAATTAGCCTAGAAGAGAATGGGCCAAGCAGTGCTTAAAGGAATACAGTGTCCGTGTAATTATTTCGGGGCATAAGCTAGCCGGGCAGGCGGCTGGGGTGTTGGGGACGCAGCCCCGCCGCCCCTATTACTTCACCAGACAGCACTTCACAGCAGGGATTTTTGTTTGTTTGGGTACAGGGTTTCTCTGTGTAACAGCTCTGGCTCTCTGGGAACTCACTCCGTAGACCAGGCTGGCCTCAAACTCACAGAGATCTCCTTGCCCCTGACAGGCCACAAAGCTATAGAGAAACCCTGTCTCGAGAAAAACAAACCAAACAAAAAACAAAACAACAACAACAACAAAAAAACCCCAACCAACCAAATAAACAAAAAACAAAACTCACCAGCCACCTTTAAAGAGGACAACATTTATTTAGTTACAGGTAAACAAACACCACTTGGGTATGCAAAGGATAAATGAGAAAGCATAGGATGTGACCACACAGTTAATCAGCAGAGTATCTTCAGAACACTGCGGTGAGAACGGAGACAGGATCAGCAGAGTATCTTCAGAACACTGCGGTGAGAACGGAGACAGGAGCCGGGGTTTTGTTGTGGTTTTAGCAAGCAGGTCTTACTTCAGTTCTGCAGGGACCTCTGATTCAGGAGAAGCCACTGCACCCTCAAGTACAAGTAAATCCACAAATAGGACCGTGAGCATCTACCTGGATGCAGTTCTAGCTGGGTCAATGGGCAGAAAGTCCGTATCTATGATGCACAGCGAGCAATACAAGGATCCTCGATCATGGACCATAGCACCATTCAGCACACTGATCAGCCAGATCACTGCCTCCCGTTAACTGACGCTACAGACGATGAGAGCAGTGAAGTAGTGTAGTTTCAAAATTCATAACATGTTTAACCAGTCCTAATTGTATGGTAAATACCTATACACACGTGCATGTGTGTGCTTGTATGTATTTAACATGAAAATAAATATCACTGTTTCAGTTTTAAAGATTGTTATTTATTTATTTTTGAGACAGAGTCTCACTCTGTCCCTCAGGCTGTCCTGGAATTCACTCTGTAGACCAGGCTAGCCTTGAACTCTTCCTGCCTCTGCCTCCCAAGGGCTGGGATTAAAAGTATGCACCACCATGCCTGGCTAATATTACCTTTATTAAAACATCAAGTTGTGCTATAGGTATGATGATAACAAACAGGTCTTTGGCCAGGGGTGGAGGTAGAGACAGAGGGGCAGAGGAATGCAAGTCTTAAAGATTTCAAGGCCAGCCTGGTCTACATAGTAAAATCCTGTCTCACACAAAACAAAACAAAACAAAACAAAACAAAACAAAACAAAACAACACACAAACCTGTCTTTGAGTTAAGCCAAATGGAACACGGCATCTAAATTATCCTCAATCTAACTTCCAGGCAATGCTCACATTGGGAAGTTAGATTGATGATAAGTTAGATTGATGGGAATAGCAAGGGTGTGCACCAAGGCCAGCTGGCCTGGGTCTGAAAAAGCATGGGATAAAACCAGACTTGCTGAACATAGCGGACAATGAGGACTACTGAGAACTCAAGAACAATGGCAGTGGGTTTTGATCCTACTGCACATACTGGCTTTGGGGGAGCCTGGGCAGTTTGGATGCTCACCTTACTAGACCTGGATGGAGGTGGGTGGTCCTTGGACTTCCCACAGGTCAGGGAACCCTGATTGCTCTTTGGGCTGACGAGGGAGGGGGACTTGATGGGGGAGGGGGAGGGAAATGGGAGGTGGTGGCAGAGAGGAGGCAGAAATCCTTAATAAATAATAATAAGTAAATTTAAAAAAAAACTAAAAAAAAAAGGGTGTGCATTAGCAAGGCCTTTTGGGCACCTTTCTATGGGTCAGTCTGCTCACGACTGGTGTTATCTGGGTGGGTTTCACAGCATAACCCTTTCCCTAGTTCTTAGGACAGGAGGCCGTGGAGATGAGGCATGAGGAAACTGTTCATTTAATTACTTGTTAACGCCTGGGAAGCTCCCCTTGCATTCTGACTGAAAGTTAGACCTTGGGAGCATTCTGCAACTCCAGCTCCTAGCATCCCTGTCTTTAATTACCAAAGATAACCGAGACTGGCATGCGTTCATTTTAGGGAAATTTGACCCAAGACACTGGCAGTTTTGTTAATGAGCAAATTGTGAGTCCAAGTTTCTTGCTTTATGGTGTGAAGATGAATACTAGGGAGGGTCTAGAACATGTTAGGCAAGTGCTCTTTATCACCGAGCTACACGCCCCCCAAACCAGCCAGCACACATTTAAGTCATTAATTAAAGGTATGTATAAATAAGTAAGGCAGTCAGAAATTTCAAAATGATCCTGGGAGGAACATTCTGTAGTCTGAAAACGTTTTAGCTTTAGAAAAATAGAGATCTCAGCTAAGAAAGAGTATTTGATTTTATGATGTCTCAGATTAGACATCTTCATGTATGAAACCTACAAAGAGAACTATCTTTAAAATTGTGCCAAGTTCAGACAAGTGGATAATAATAACATGGCAAGAGGCACCAGAGCTGGGCTGGTTGGCACCACTGCCCCAATGTCAGGTACATGGAAAGCTACAAGGCAAGCCAAAAATAATCCTCACAGCTTGATTCTTCTTTGTTTTTGTCCCCTCACAACCAAACCAGGGTTTCACGTGTAGCCATGGTTGTCCTGGAACTCTCTCTATAGACCAGGCTGGCCTCAAACTCACAGAGATCCTCCTGCCTCTGCCTCCCGAGTGCTGCAGTTAAAGGAGTGTGCCACCACTGCCCAGCTCTAAAAAAAAAAAAGGTGTTCACTCTAAGACAATAATAGTATGAGTCAAAGAGTCTGAATTGTAGCCCTTGATGCAATAGCATGTGCACTAAGAAACACACATACCACTAAGGACATTATTATAGACCACTTGGGAAGGATTTGTGTTGAGTTCATAAACTGAACTCATCTTCTATGACATGAGAAACTGAGTTAGAAGGATGGCCAATTTCATTTCCTAAAGGAAGAGTTAGAAACTGCACTTCTTAGCTTTAGAATTCTTTCATAAAAATATAAACTGTGTTTTTTTAACCGTACTAAATTGTCTTACTTTTTTAATAAAAGATTTGTTTTTGTATTTTATGTGTATGGGTGTTTTGTCTGAGTCCATGTATGTGTGCAACATGTGTGCAGTGACCACAGAGGCCAGAAGAGGGTACCTGAGACTGGGACTGGAGCTACAGCTGGTTGTGAGCCAACATGTGGGTGCTCATAGCTGAACTCTGGTCCTATCCAAGAGCAGCAAGCGCTCTTAACCTCCTAGTCACCTTTCCAGCCCACTAATTATGTTACTTTTGAAATGACAGCCTGCTTTTGTATGATATTAGCAGACCAATAACTCCTTGTAAGAAAGAATTAATTCATGATACTCAGTCATGGTCTCATGCTCAAAGCCCATTTATCTGAACACTTTGGGGGAAATCTAGACTCTTGGGTTTTCCCTTACAAAGAAGTGGTTGAGTTGCAAAGCTTTTATTTCCAGTCTTTGTATGTAAAACCCTAGTCCCAGTGGAGTGAGAGGAGAGGAAGAAAGGAAGGAAGGGAGGCCGAGAAGGAGGGAGGAAGAAAAAGAGGTGGGGACTTTCTTCTTCATTCCTTCCTTCCTTTCTTTTCTTTTTCTTTTCTTTTTTCTATTTTTTTTCCAGACAGGTTTTCATGTAGCCCAGGCTGGCCTGGAACTCACTAGGTAGCAGAGAGGCTAACCTTGAACCTCCAATCCTCCTGCCTCCACCGAGAGCTGGGATTACAGGCATTTACCACCATGCCTGGCTTGAAAGATTTCATCAGGGCATCTGTATCAACTACTGAATAAGCTCTAAGCAACATCATCTCTAAAACATGCACGGTTCTAATCACTTCTGCCACCTCCGGAGAGGCCATGCTGCTTACAGATGAAACAATGACAAGGGCGTTTACAAAAGGACATGGCCGGCCACCACACAGAGCATTCCTCTAGCAACCAAGTGAGGTAGGCATGAGGAGAGGACCCACACGAACTGTTGCACGACACTAAACGTGTGCACCGTCTGTGTACTTTCTTCTGGATTGTTCTGTCATCTGAACACAGGGTTGAATGAGCAAAAAGAGTATTCCTACCATGTAAAGCAGGCCACATATATAAAAGGAAAAATCGTATTTTTGTGTGATGTCGAAGATCCACCCTACGAAAACAAAGAAATACAGATATATTCAGTATAACACAATTTAAGACAAAGTTCAAAAATATAAACCAGGCATTTATTGCTACTTCAATTTTTTTGCTTGTTTTTGTTTTTTGAGACAGAGTTTTTTTTTTTTTGCATAATCCTGGCTATCCTGGAACTCCATCTGTAGATCAGGTTGGCTCAATTTTTTTTTTTTTAAAATGAGCTTGGGTTGGGGATGTAGCTCAGTGGTCGAGCACCTGCCTAGCATGTGTTAAAGTCAAAGTTCAGTCCCCAACACTGCCTCTCTAATTTATTAACTTTTCTTTGTGATGCTGAGGATGGAGCACAAAGCACTGCCCATGTGGCCACCGCTGGCCACAGTCAGGCCTCACTCACAACTTTTTCTTTCCATACAAGATCTCATCTATTATACTGAAGGCTGGTCTCAAATTCACTATGGATTGTTTTTTTTAAACATTTTTTCTTTTTTTTAAAGATTTATTTATTTATGATGTATACAATGTTCTATCTGCATGTATACCTGCCCACCAGAAGAGGACATCAGATCTCATTACAGATGGTTATGAGTCACCATGTGCTTGCTGGGAATTGAACTCAGGACCTCTAGAGCCTGTGCTCTTAACCCCTGAGCCATCTTTCCAGCCCCCTGTATTGTTTTTTTTTTAATCTTTAATTTTTTTTTTGTTTGCTTGTTCTTGAGACAGGGTCTTACTATGTAGTTTTGGAACTCACTACATAAACCAGGCTGGCCTAGAACTCAAAGAAACCCACCTGCCTCTGCCTCTCAAGTGCGCCACCATGCCTGGCTGTTATCCTTCGTTTTTATTTTATTTATTTTGTGTAAGTGTATGAACTTTTTGTATGGCACTCATGTACTATGTAGAGGTCACAGAACAACTCTTTGGGGTTGGTTCTCTCCGGTCACCTCTGTGGTGTCCCAGGGATCTAGCTCAGGTCATTCAGCTCTTCAGCCACTAAGCCAGCTCATCATCTCTATTAAATGTGTTATTTGACTTAAAAATCAGAGTCAGCAGGTGTGGCAGAAGCAGGCGATCTCTGTGAGTTTGAGGCTAGCTTAGTCATAGCAAGTTCCAGGCCAGCCAGAGCTGCCCAAAGAGAGCCTGTTTCAAAAACAAAACAAAACAAAAACCAATAGACAAAGAACAAAAGAACAAAACATAAACAAGAACAAAAAAGGGGCTTAAAAATAAAGGTCATATTCTTTAGATGTGGCTTAGTAAACTGCTCCATCCTTTCTCCATCCGCAATCTAAAACACAGAAATCCAAAAATGATGAGTCTGAAAGCTAACACAGATGTCTCAACAAACCCCCACCAACATCTGTCAGTGTCACACCTGCTCCTGATGGGACACCTGGGAGTAATGACCACCTGAGTAAGTGAAGCTGTGGCTGTGGAGGGGTCTGTCTGTATCTATCTAGAAACAGTGGGTGAGGGAACCGACTGTAATCTGAAAGTTAGACGACCAGGGCAGGATCTGGGGCACAACAGATCTGCCATACCAGCTCCTGGAAGACTGTAAATTCAAGGTCCATCTGGGCCACAGAGTGAAAATTAGCCAAGCTCACCCCATACCTCTAATCCAGCACTTGGAAGGCAGAAGCGGGGCAGATCTCTGCCGGTGAGGCCAGGCTGGTCTGCATAATACATTACTGGCAGGCTATAGCCAGACACACAGTGAGACCCGGTCCCCAAGAGGAAAAAATGAAAAGTACTTGGTGATGTAGCCCAATGGCGATCATTTACTTGCTTAGGATATGAGGAGGCTTTGGGTTCAATACCATGGAGGCCAGAAGAGGTCGCGGGTTCTCTGGAGCTGGAGTGCTGAGAACTAAAACTCTGGAGGAGCAGCAAGTGCTCTTAATCACCGAGCCATCTCTTTAGCCTCCCCCTCCCATCCTGGAGACTGGATGCGAGGGTCTCAGGCTTGCCAGAGATGTGCTCTGCCACTGTGCCACATCTTCAGCCGTGTGAATCCCCTATAGCTGGGGATGGGCGAGATTTCCTCACCCGCCACACATCATTGCACCTGCTTGTGACCTTTGTTCTTTGATTTGGAACACGGGACATTTGCAATCCTTTCATCCATTAACTCAAAGCCACAGCTGTGAAGTGAAACCTGGTTCCCTACTCAACTGCCTTCCCTTTTCATTTGAGTGTGCCCAGTGAGAAGCATAGGCATCTTTCCCATCAGTTAAATTGCTCCCAGCTTTTGGCCAATATCGAAAATGCTTGTTAAGGGGCTAGATTTTATTCAAATGAAGGTGAGTCATGTAGATTACTCAGACAAATCTGAAGGGCTAGATTTTGTTAGAAAGTATTCTGGAAACATCTAGAAAACTCACCTACTACCATGGCATCTTATAAAAAGAAGTGAACACCCAGCAATGTTATAACATACATTCGACTGAAGTTGGTGTTGTTTAGTGCCCCAGTTGAAATGTCTGTGTAATGTTTTGAATTGCATGCTTTCCCTAAATGGAAACACTCGAGTGTCTAATGTGGCACTAAATTGTACCAGGTTTGTAAGTGGGAGTAGAAATCTCTCTGAAAAATGGGAAACATGTTTGTTTCTGAAACCACTTACAAAAAAAAAAAAAGGTAATTGGAGAAGTAATTTTCTCTGCTGCACATTAAGTAGCATTTAAACCCATTGGGATGTCCATCAAGAACTGAATGTGGTTATTTAGTTGATCCTATTGCTGGCACCCTGAGCCCATAATGCATGAATGCTGGTCCTGCATCACATTATGACTTTAGTTTCTTGGCCTGGAGAGTCAATTAAACATTATGCAGGCAGCCAATGAACGTCCTTCACCATTAGTGTATGAATCTGTGGGAGGAGAGGAAGCAAGAATATAAAGAGAAAGGACACTTCAGACGTGAGGGACACCAGCCTAGAGTCCCCACAGCAGTAAGGGTAGGCACCCACAGAAACTTCTTTCTTGCTGGGCAATAGTGGGTGCACACCTTTAATCCCAGTACTCGGGAGGAAGAGGGAGGCAGATCTCTGTGAGTTCAAGGCCAGCCTGGTCTACAGAGCGAGTTCTAGGACAGCCAGGACAGAGAAACAGAGAAACCCTGTATCAAATAATAATAATGATGATAATAATAATAACAATAAATTAAAAAGTAAAAAAGAAAAGAAAAACTTTCTAGTTTTTGTTGTGGTAGTGATCTTTTTTTCTTTTTGGTTTTTCAAGACACGGTTTCTCTGTAGCTTTGGAGCCTATCCTAAAACTAGCTCTTGTAGACCAGACTGGCCTCAAACTCAGAGATTCACTTGCCTCTGCCTCCTGAGTTCTGGGATTTAAAGGCGTGCGCCACCACTGCCCAGCTGTGGTAGTGATTTTTGTTTGTTTTGTTTTGAGATAGGGTCATACGTAGCCCAGGCTAACCTTAGACTCCTGATACTCCTGCCTCCACCTCCAAGTGCCATGATCACAGGCTTACATGCCTGGCTTTAAAGTTCTCTCATAACTATATATTTCTATAAATATATGTGGAGAATATATTCAGTGCTTTCGTGTAAGCATATGCACATGTGAATGTGAGCACGTGTGTGTAGTTTAAGAACTTGAAGGTCGAAAGATGGTGCTGGGTGTGCACATCCCACTTGCACTTGCATCTCTCTCCATCTGTTCCTCTGAGTCAGGGTTTCTCCCTGAACTTGAGGCCCTTCCTCACTCCCTCCCTCTCTCCTTCCCTCCCTCCCTTCCTTTCTTCCTTGACAGGGTTTCTCTATGTAGCCCTGGCAGTACTGGAACTCAGAGATCCGCCTGCCTCTGCCTCCCATGTGCTGGCATTAAAGGTGTGTACCACCATGGTGGCCAGCCAGAGGCACATGTTTTCTTGGCTAGACCTTTGGCTGCCAGAACAGTAAAATAATGTTTACGGAAGCTTATTTGAGCAGTGACAGGCAACAAACACGAGTCTAGACCCAAGAGCATGGATGCCTTTTGGTAGTTTTTTGAGATAGAGTCTCAGGTGGCCAAGAATCACCCTGGACTCTGGATCTTTGCCTCTGCCTTTCAAGTGCTGGGACTACAAGTATGGGCCACGACAGCAAGGGTATGATGTGCTGGGTGCAGAACTCAAGGCCTCCTGCATGCTAGGCAGACAGTCTACCACCTATGACAACCTTTAGCCTTGGTTTTGGTTTCTTCTCTTTTAAAAGTTTTATTTACTTAATGTGTGTGTGTGTGTGTATGTGTATGGGTCTGTATCATGGTATAAACATGGAGGTCAGAGAAAAATCTGTAAGATTCTATACTTTCCTTCTACCATGTGGGTTCTGGGGATTGGACCCAGCTCATCAGGCTTGGTGGCTGAGTCACAGGCCCCTGCCATTGATTTCTGGAGATGGGGTCTTATCGTGCAGCTAAGTTGACCTGGAATTTGTAACAATCCTCCTGCCTCAATCCCCTTATTACTGGGATTACAGGTGTAATCCCACATCTGGCCTTTTTGTTTACTTTTTGTTTTTTGAGACAACTTAGGCTGATCTCTAACTACTAGTGCTCTTTCTACCTAAATTTCCCAAGAGCTGAGACAAGTATATGCCACCACACCCAGCTCTGATGTTGGACTTTGTAAGGGGTGGGGACACATCCTGCCCTCCTGCATGAGCTCTAAACTCTGGGTACCTTGGGGCACTCACCTGCAAATGGTGGTCCCAGTAAAGCCGAGATGCCGTTGGCACAGATGATGATGCCATAGGCATTGGCCAAGTGCTCAGTGCCAACCAGGTCCTCCGTCACCACAGGCATGAGGGAGAAATACCCACTGGAAAACCCAATCAGGGCACAAATGACAGCCAGGCTTGCATAGGTATGCATCAATGGCAGAAGGAAGATGCTGAAGACAAGGGTGAAATTAGCGATGAGGAAGACGTTCCAGACGCTGATGCAGGGGAGGTCAGCCACCGCCCCCAGGATCACCTTCCCGAAGATGTGAACAATTGCTATAATTGAGGTCAGAGGGAACATGTCATTTTGTTCTGACAGGTTATACAAGCTGACGATTTCTGGCAGGTGGATGAAGGGGATGACGAAGCTGCTGTATGCAAACAGAGCCCAGAACACAAAGGCTACAAACATGCGATTGGTGAAGAGTGAGGCTGTTCCGAAATAGCCTGAGTACCAGTCCCCAAAGCCCTTTTGGACTCGCACAGTGAGCTGGCTCACTGTCTTCAGAACCCGGAAAGCACGCGCGTTCTTCCTGGGCCGGGTTTGACCTTGACATTCCTGTGCTTGAAGGTCACAGACATTTCCCTCGTTCTCAGGCTGTCTGTCTTGTTCTTCAGTGACACCTAGTGGTCCTGATTTCACAGATTCAGCGGAGTAAGCTGGGACAGCAGAGGGCTCCTCCCCTCTGGGGCAGTTTTCTACCTTCCCAGGAGAGAGGGGTCTCATGAGCGCTCCACAAACACAGAGGTTCAAGGACACGGCACCTTGGATGAACATGGCGTTCCTCCAGCCATACTCTGCACACAGGTATTTCAGCAAAACGGTCATCAAGAATGTCCCAAATCCTGTCCCTGTGGTACTGAGGCCCTGGGCCAGGGCTCGCCTCTTCTGAAAGTACCTTCCCACCATAACCACTGCAGGCAGGTAGGCCATCCCGCTGCCGAGGCCTGCAGGTGAGATGGAAAAAAATCAGGAGGCACAGTCAGAATCCATAGACCAGCTGCTGTGTCAGGCAGCTGTCCAGACTGTAGCAAAAACACTTGAGGCAATCAACTTAAAAAGAAGGAAGGTTTATTTTGGCTAGTGATTTTAGAGACCTTAATTCCTGATGCTTTGGGGGCACATCAGGGCAGAGAGACGTGGCAGAGCAAAGCTCATGGTTGCTGGGAAGACAAGGAAAAGAGGAAGCAAGGACTAGGGATCTAGCTGTTGCTGGAGTGCTTGCCCTAGCAGGCATTAATTTCCACCCAGCACCACATAAAACTGGTCACTGACACTATAATCCTAACACTTAGCAAGCGGAGGTAGGAGAATCAGAACTTCAAGGCCAGTCTCAGCTACACAGTGAGTTTGAGGCCATTATGGGATGCACAAGACCCTGTTTAAGCTGGAAGCAGGGCGGGGTGGGGGAGCGGAGCATATTCCCAATTACCTATTCCTTCTACTAGGCCCCATTCCCTAAATTTCCTACCACCTCTCAATAGCCCATCTTTACTACTTACTACACAACCTTCAGAGACATTTAAGGTCTAAACTGTTACACCTCTGTCTCCCTACACCATTGATCTTTTCCATTCTAATGAAGGAATAATAATTATATAAAGAGGAGGGGAGCTGGGAGGAGCCGCCAATTTTCCTTTAGGGCTTTGCAGTAGTTTCTGCCAATAATATCTGAGAAGATCCCTCCTGTAAGATCAAAAGATTAAAAACACAGCGAGCTCCAGGCCAGCCTCACCTATGGAGCGAGGCCCTGACTCAGGCAGAATCAAACAGAAGAAGAAAGTGACAACTCCATCGTCCTCTGGACCACTGTTCATGAATAAAACTGTGGGAGGATTTCTGAGAACTTGTGAGTAAACAAGACAAGAGCCCTGTTCTTCCGTAAAGTGGGTTGTTCTTGGAATATGCTTTGGTGCCCCTCCCAGATGTACTAACAGGGACACGTTTATTTTAGGTCACTCATCGTTCTATCCATTGTTATTCAGAACAAAGTTTCCAAGCACACGTTGCCCTTGTGACTGTATATAGTGACTCTAGTGAACATTGCTCACATGACATTCCTAACCCTCAAAATACTCTCAGAATATAAACTGTCTGAGACCCTGAATAATGATGGCCATTCCATGAAACTTCAGTCTATTTTAGTCTCCCACTCTCCCAGGTTCATGCCTCCAGCTAGAGCAGTAACTGTTTCTGAGCCTCCTACTAATGTCAGTGATGGGAAGACACAGTCCTCAACTTTGGGCCTAACTCTGGACAGTCTTTATAAAGCTTATGATCACAAAGATAGACATCTACAATTTCTTAGAATGTAAAATAGACAAAGAAAAAACAGCCCAGAGGTTAGCAAGACAGGAAGGAGGGGCTTGACAACCAGGATGTACATGGTGGAAGGAGAGAACTGAATCCTTCAAGTTGTCTTCTGACCTTCCCACATAAGAACTGTTACACACACAGACACACACACACACACACACACACACACACACAGACACAAACACACTGCTGTGGATAATGTGTTTGTACTCTGTAGGGATTTGTCTCTCGTATTGGTTTAATAAAATGCTGATTGACCAGTAGCCAAGTAGGAAGTATAGGCAGGGCAACCAGAGTAGAAAAATCTGGGAAGAGGAAAATCAGAGAGTCAGTCACCAGCTAGATGTGGAGGAAGCAAGATGAGATTGCCTTACTGAAAGGTACCAAGCCACGTGGCTAAACATAGACAAAAATTATGGGTGAATTTAAATCATAAGAGCTAGTTAGTAATAAGCCTGAGCTAATAGGCCAAACAGTTTATAATCACCATAAGCCTCTATGTGTTTATTTGGGACCAAATGGCTGCGGGACTGGGTGGGACAGTAACTTCTGTCTACAACACACACATACACACACACACACACATACACGGAAAGGGGCTGGAGAGACGGCTCAGTGGTTAGGAGTATTTGTTCCTATTGCAGAGGATCTGGGTTAATTCCTGGAACCCACATGGCAGCTGTAACCATTTCTAGTGGGTCTGACCATCTCCTCTTCTGAACTCTGCAGTCACCACATACTCATGCGATTCATATACACACATGCAGGCAAAACATTCATATACATAAAATAAAACTTAAAAAATCTGGAGATATGACTCAGTGGTTAAGAGCACTTGCTGCTCTTGTGGAGGACCCAGATTTGCTTCTCAGCATCCACATGATGTCTCACAATCACCTGTAATTCTAGTCTGGAGACCTTGCCCCTTCAGAAGCTGGCTACAAAATGTCACCATCAGACAGACTCTGCACTCATGTCCTCAGCTCCCAGGTCATCTGACATCAGCAATACTACCTGGATCACACTGCTGTGAAAGGAAGCGCCCTGGTATGGGAGGTCCTTCTGTCTATGTGTTGCTTTTATTGGTTAATGAATAAAGAAACTGTCTTGGCCTGCTAAGGTAGAACAAAGCTAAGTGGGGGTGGGCTGGGCGGGAACTAAAGTGAATGCTGGGAGAAAGGAGGTGGAAGCAGAGAGAAGCCATGCAGCCCCACCAGAGCCAGATGGAACTTTAGCTGGTAAGCCACAGTCACATGGTGATATACAGATTAATAAAACTGGGTTAAATTAATATATAAGAGTTAGCCAATAAGAAGCTAGAGCTAATGGGCCATGCAGTGATTTAATTAACACAGTTTTCTGTGTGATTATTTCAGGATTAAGCAGCCGGGAACCAACAAGTGGTCTCCTCCTACATGCCCCTTCTTCTACCCTATTACCCCTTCCCTCACCTGGTCTCAGGTAGTTGGTTAGTTCTCTCCTTCTATCACATGGGTACCAGGGATGTAACTTGGTCATCAGGCTTGGTGGCACCTCTGCCTGCTAAGTCATCTCACTTGCCCAAGACAAATCTTTTAAAGATGAGATTAACTTTGCACTTCTATGCTAAAGATAAAGCATATTTAAAAAAAATAAAGGAGCCTCTTCAGCGGGTGTGTCAATGGCTATTCTAAAAAGAACCCAGAGTGGATGAACCACAGGGGATGTGACTGAGAATCACACAATGAGGATGTTCTGTTGTCTGGACATCATACATCATACTTACAAAAAGTGATTGTCCAGTGTGCATGAGACCTTGGATTTGGTCCCAGCACCACATAAATCAGATTTGGTGACACACACCACAATACCCAAGCTGAGAGGAAAGGCAGAAGTATTAAGGTCATCCTTGGCTAGATACCAAATTTGAGGCTAGCCTGGGCTACGTGAGATGCTGTCTCAAAAAACAAAACTCAAAATCTAGGGTGACTGCATCAATAGGGAGTATAATCTTAAGATTCTTTGTTGTTGTTGTTGTTGTTGTTGTTTTGGTTTGTTTTTCAAGACAGGGTTTCTCTGTGTAGCTTTGGTGCCTGTCCTGAAACTAGTTCTTGTAGACCAGGCTGGTCTTTAACACCCGAGTGCTGGAATTAAAGGCATGCGCCACCATTGCCCTGCAAGATTCATTTCTTGGGTGGGGGGTGTCTGTGTGTGTGTGTGTGTGTGTGTGTGTGTGTCCGTGTGCAGGTGCTCTTGGAGGCCAGAAGAGGGCACTGGGTCCCCAGAGCAGGTGCCATAGCTGGTTGGGAGCTGCCCAGTGTGGGTGGTGGGAACTGAACTCCAGTCCTCTGCAAGAGCAGCAAGCATTCTCAACTGCTGAGCTATCTCTCCAGCTCTAATGGGACAGTTTAAATCAAACTCTGGGAAGCTTTGAAAAACAGGATGATTTAATGACTTTTCGTGCCATCACTTAGCTTCAACAAATCTCAACTCGCAGCCAACTTGGTAAATACCACAAATTATTTTGAAGCAAATCAAGAATACATTATCTCATGTGTGCATATTTTAGTATACAAATCTCCAAATGTAGGAATCATTTAAGTGGCATACTTCTCATATCATTATCTCATTGGAAAAAAGAAATTTTTGATACCACTAAATATCCAGAAGGCTCTCAAACTTCCAAATGTTTCATAAATGGCTATTCTTTTTAAAAAGCAAAACCACCCCCCCAAACTTGTATTTTTAAATCATGATCCAAAAAGGTTTTACACATTGCTGTTTGTTGGTGCCTATTTTAAGTCTTTTACAGTCCCACCCCAAGACCTCTTGCAATTTATTTTATTGAATTTAAGACAAAGACCCTAGGTGATTTGTTCTGTGACACTGTCATGCTTTGGATTTTGATGATGACACAAAGTAAGTCTACTTATTTTAGACAGGTTCTCTTATAGCCCAGACTGACCTGGAATTTGTAGTTCAGGATAGCCTTGAAATTCTGATCCTAGCTAAGTGGTGGTGGTGCATGCCTTTAACCCCAGCACCTGTGAGGCACAGGAAGGCGGATCTCTGTGAGTCTGAGGGCAGCCTGATCTACAGGGTAAGTTCCAGGATAGACAGGCCTGTTACACAGAGAAACTCTGTCTCAAAAAACAAAACCAAACAAAAAAGTTTCTAATATCGTTTAAACATTATTATTATTACCATTGCTATTTTATGCATATGACATGTGTGTGACTGCAGACACACACATGCAAACAATAAGCATGTGGAGGTAAAAGGATAATGTTTAGGACAGTGTTTCTCAACATGTGGGTCGCAATTCTCTTGAGGTCCTAAAGACCCTTTTACATAGAGGTGGCATATCAGATTCAATTCATAACAGTAGAAAAAATACCAAATTTGTACAAAAATTACAAAGCACCAAAACCAATTTTATGTTTTGGGGGTCACCCTACCATGAGGAACTGTATTAAAGGGCCACAGAATTAGGAAGGCTGAGAACCTTTGCTCTAGGAGTTGACTCCTTCCTTCCACCTAGGGATCCAAGAGTCATTCAGGCTGTCCAGCTCGTACCTGTCATAGGCAAGTACCTTCACCTGTGTGCCATCTTGTCAGCACATTGGCATCAGGTCTTAGTGTCTCATTCCTCTTGTCTTAAGGGATATACTTGAGTTTATGTCATATTTATGCTACACATATGCTACCAAGTTTATATGTCAGCTAACATTTACCAAGCACTTTAGTACCTACCATCATGCTAAGCATTTTCTGTGAATTACTTCCATCATTTCAACAGGATACTGTGATTGGTACTCCAGATATGGCAGTATGTAGCTATCATTTTAGCCCTAAGTAGGTGGTGACAGGAAGACCCCTGATTTACATGTAAGGAAACGGAGGTACAAGGAGCTTCCGTGATGAGTCTAGTGTGCCTAATGTCACATGAATACTAAGTGGTTACAAAAGGAGCACACAGATGGGTGACACTCAGTAGTAAGAGTTCCCAGAAAAAGTGAAACACTAACCAGGCCTGACGGCTCATTGCTGCAATCCCAACACCCAAGAGGTGGAGGCAGGAGGGATCAAAAGTTCAAGGTCCTTCTCTGCTACATAGTAAATTCAAGGTCAGACTGGGAATACGAAAGGGCCCATCTCCTAACAGAAATAAATAAACATAAATCTTTATTAACCTTTTGTTTTTACATTGATTGCTTTCTGAAGTAAGGTCTTAAGACAGAGTCCTGACTAAGTTTAACCTTTCTATTGCCTTGCCTGAAGCTCCCAAGTATTAGGAGTCCAGATGTGCTATTTACCACCATATCCCATCCAAAATAACTTTTTGTTGCTTTGTTTTTTGACCTTTGTTTGCACAGGGACTTGTCTAGCCCAGGCTGGTCTGGGACTCACTATGTATGTCGCTGAGGCTGGTTTTGCTTTCTGGGTCTTCCTCTCTCCACCTCCCCAGGGCTAGAATTATAGCTATGTACTACCACATTTGGATCTTTTCTTTTGCTTGTGATTTTGTTTTTGAATTTTGGGACAGCGTCTCAATGTCTGTGGACCAGGGCTTTGAACTAATAGAGATCCTTCTTCAGTCTGTCTCCTGAACACTGAGATTTCCTTCCTTCCTTCCTTCCTTCCTTCCTTCCTTCCTTCCTTCTTTCCTTTTTCTGAGAAAGAGTCTCACTATATAGCCTGAATGGCCTGAAATTCTCTATGTAGACCAAACTGACCTTGAACTTTTGGTAATGCCCCTGCCTCTGACTCTCAAATGCCATGAATGTATGTGTCACTACATCTGCTGTCTTAATCAAAATATCTTTCAACTCTGATTCAATAATTCATTTTTTTTTTTGGAGACAGATCAGAGTTTTGTTCCCACAGAGTCAGGTGGGAACACAGGGTTCGAGGAAATAGCTACTCACTGTGTGAACCCCACAAACCGTGGGTAAAGGAAATTATGGCTAGGAATACATTTTGCAGAATGCAGATTACTCTGCGTGGTGTTTGGTTTTAATCCATCCCCTGCCTGTGTGCTAGATTGGCTTCCGAGAATCTCTGTCTGCCAGGGACTTGTGCTAATTCATTCATCTGAACGGAGCTGAACGATAATGACTATTCCATCAGTCACATTTAGTCCTGTGGTTACTAATGAATGTCACCCATTTCCCTAGCATCTTGGTTTACTCACTTTAGTTTGTGTCATTGTCCCCCCTTTCCCATTCTTTGAAGGAGAAACCCTAGCACATAGGAGTCTGGATTTTGTTCTATTTGGGGGAAGTCAAATACAGTTGCTAGTGAGTGTCCCACATGTAAGGGACACTTAGCATCTATTAAAGTGTTTCTTGGGTTGATGGATAAGACGGTTTGCTATGCAAACACAAGGATCTGAGTTCAAACCTACAACATCTAAGTAAAAAGCTGGGTGTGGCTTTGCATACCTGTAACACTAGTGGTGGTTGGGGTGTCACGAGAAGGAGGCTCTCTGGGGGTTGTTGACTGACAGCCTAGCCCCAGATACAGTGAGAGACCCTGTGTCTAACAATAAGGCAAAGGATGACAAAATGGCACGTGCGCGCATGTGCACACACACACACACACACACACACACACACTTCCAAGATGATACAGAATGCTTTAAAAGTTTTTTCTAGATTTGTTTATTTTATTTGTGTGAGTGTTTTGCATGAATGCAAAACTGTATGTAAACTGGTGTGTGTGTGTGCTATCCATAGCAATCAGAAGAGGATATCAGATCCTCTCAAAAAGAGTTACAGATAGCTGTGAGCTGCCATGTGGATGCTGGAAATGGAACCTGGGTTCTCTGCAAGAACAAGTGCTCTTTACTGCTGAGTCATGTCTCTAGACCATCAACAGAATGTCTCAATGGGCCTCTTTGCTCCACAGTTAAATTCATCCTCTGAATGCACAGAACACTGAAACCAAACATGTTAAACCGTGCTTACCAGCTGCCACTCCAAAGGTAACAAAGAGAGTTTGCACATTGGCTGCGTAGGCACTCAACACCCAGCCGAGGGAGTTCACCAGCCCTCCAATGATCGCTGTCTGGCGGCACCCACAGGTGTTAATGAACAAACCGATGAAAGGTCCTGCCACAGAGCAGTGGAAAAGGCACTGACTAGAGGTTCCTTGTCTTAGTGTCCCCCCACAAAAAGTTAAAGAGTAAAACATCACCAGGGCTGTTGAAAGAAAACCAAACCAGGACTAGCGAGATGGCTCAGCGGGAAAGGGGCTTGTGGCCAAAGCTGGCAACTTGAGTCTGAGCCCTCGAACCTGCTTGGTAGAAACAGACCAGACTCCCACAGGTTGTTGACCTCCACACAAGCACCCTCAATAAGCAAATAAGTATAAATTTTAACAACATAGGCAAAAACAAAATATCTTATGATGGGGGTCTGAAAAAAGGCAAGAATGAAAAGCTCGTTCAGATTGACTTGGTCAACCTGGATCAAACTTTGGGAAGTCTGATGCCAGCCGGTTTTTATTGTAATTTAAACACAATAGAGTCTGGAAAATGGTTTTCCAGGCTACAGTCATTCTGATTCCAGGTGCACAATAAATCTTAAGGTGTGACTACATAGACATTCCTTTACAAAGAACATGTGACCATGAAGGTGGGTTCTACAGCTAAAAGGCCTGGGATCTGGTGCAGTCTCTGATGAAGACAGCATAGAGGTCAGCAGGCTAAGGATGGGCTCTGTTGACTGAAAGCTAAAGATAAAAGTCTGGGGTGATCAATCTGGGGGTCTGGATGAGGTCTACCTCTACAGGTAGCAAAAAGGTCATCAGGTCATTAACAACATCCATTCTATCTTTAGAAATACAGGGTTTTGTTTTATTGAATGGCATTGGTGTGAGGATGTCAGATCCTCTGAAACTGGACTTACACTCAGTTGTAAGCTGCTGGAAATTGAACCCCGGTCCTCTGGAAGAGCAGCCAGTGCTCTTAACCACTGAGCCATGTCTTCAGTCCAGAATGCAGGCATTTTATTGAGGAGAGGTAGTACAGTACTTATTATCCATTGAGGAGACATCCCTGAGTGATTAATATTCTGGCTTCCCTGTCAAACTGTGGACACAAGGACCATTGTGCCCAACAATCTTAAAGTATAAAAACTTTGCAGATGTGCACAATCTCATCAGAGAACATACAGCTCTAGAGTGGACACAGCGGTCAGCCTCATTCTGCCCACAACAGAAGCCCTCAGCTGATGTTCTAACAGGATCCTGCCTAGCATGCATTTTCTGGACCTTACACAGAGTTTGAAAATGTGTGGAATAAGCAAACACTTGAAAATAAGAGAAACCACACACACACACACACACACACACACACAAATCCAGTAGCAAGGCTGACTATTTCCTACCTCTCCTCAGATGACTCGGTGTCATGTGATGGCTGACCCTCTGGCTTAGTCACACCTTCTCAGGCTGGTCGCAGCTTCTACCCTTGCCTCTTGAGGTTAAATTCCACCTATGACATGTTGTTGGTGAATGTGCCATGGTGCTGGAGTGGAGGTCGGAGGACAACTTACGGGAGTTAATTCTCTCCTTCTACCATATGGGTTTATGAATGGAAGGAACTCAGGTTGTTAGGCTTGGTACCAAGGGTCCACTGAACCGACTCACTGACCCACACCAGAGGTCTTTGCTCCAGTTCACTTTTGTTTTTTTGAGACAGGGTTTTTCTGTGTAGCTCTGGCTGCCCTGAAACTCGCTCTGTAGACCAGGCTGGCCTCGAACTCACAGAGGTCTGCCTGTCTCTGCCTCCCAAGTGCTGGGATTAAAGGCCCAGCGTGACTTCAGTTCTAAAGGAAACATCGGAAACGATTCCCATGAAGATGATCTACAGCCAATCACAGAGCACCCAATGAAAACAGAATTTAAAAGGACTTGCTATCTGTTTTCAACTCACTTAGGCCCTGCTTTCTCTTCCAGTTCTCTGAGATCACGGGGCTGCAATGTTTTGGTTTCATGCAGCCCAAACTGACCTCGAATTGCCTACACAACCAAGGATAACCTTGAACTTCTGATCCCCCTACCTCCACCTCCCAAATGCTGGGACAACAGGCATCTGCCACCATGCTTGGTTTATTAGGTGCTGGGGGATGGACCCCAGGGCTCTCCATGCATGCTAGGTAAGGCACACTACCGCTGAACTGAACCCCAGTTTTTATACTTTAAGATTGTTGGGCACAATGGTCCTTGTGTCCACAGTTTGACAGGGAAGCCAGAATATTAATCACTCAGGGATGTCTCCTCAATGGATAATAAGCACTGCATTTTTGACACTTTGTGACCTGAGTTCATTTTCTAGAACTCAGAGTAGAAGGGAGAGGGCCGGTTTCCGGAAGTTGCCCTCTGACCCTTATCCATAGGCTGGGGCCCACTTGTGCCCATACTCACACAATGATAAATAAAGCAATCGAGCTCTTAAGAGTCTCCCTGCTTAGCCCAAACTAAAACAAGATTTCCCTGTGAGGTCGCTTCTGTGCGGGAGAAGGAACTGGTGTCTCCCACGGGCAGGGCTGTATTTGTTACTTTCGCCAGACCAGTCCTGATAAAAACAACTTAAGGGAAGGTTTGTTTGGGCCAGGGTTAAAGGGGCTCCTTTATCAAGGACACTACAGAGCCTGGCCACATTGTGTCTGTCATCAGGAAGCAGAGGAAGACTGATCCTGGTGCTCCATCAGCTTCCTCCAGACCCACATTTAGGGTGGGTCTTACCTTTCCAGTCAAATCAACTCAGAAACTCTACAGAAGTTTCTCTCCTGTGACTCCAATTCTGCCAAGTTGATAATGAAGAGAGGATTGTACTGGCAACCTAGCCTCGTCTGCCGTGTGTGTATGTGTTCAAAGATTTTTTTAAAAATTTTTGTGTATTTATTTATTCAGTATGTAGTTCCAGCTGGCCTAGAGTTTGCTATGTAGACCAGGTTGGCCTGGAAGTCACAGAGGTCTACCTGCCTCTGCCTCTCAAGTGCTAGGCTTAAAGGGGTGTACTACGACATCTAGCAAGATTTATTTTAAAAACGTATTTATTTACTTTATGTGTATGTGTGTTTTGCTTGTATGTTTGTATGTATACCGTGGGCATGCCTGTTGCCTTTAGAGTCCGGCAGATGGGTGCTGGGAATTGAACTAGGTCCTCTGCAAGAGCAGCAATGCTCTTAACCACTGACATCACTGCAGCTTCATTATTTTGTTTTTAATTGTGTGTATGTCTGTGCACATGAGTGCAGTGCCTGTGCAGGCCAGATATGTCTGCTATTCCTGGAGCTGGAGCTACCGACAGTTGTGAGCCACCTTAGATGGGTTCTGGGGACTGAACCCAGATCCTCTGCAAGAGCAGCAAATGTGCTAACCCATCAGCCATCTCTTCAGCTCCTTGTCTGGTGTCTTTGAAAAGTGTAAATGTAAAGACTTATTTAATAAATTCTGACATTAAAGTCAACAATTAACTCATTATAATAGACTTATTGCATACTAAATATATTTATATATTTTATAATTATACATATTATATAGCAATGATATATATCGAATATGTATATTATATAAATAACATAAAATCAGCCCATTGTTATGAGCATCTGGATGACTTCTTGTGAGTAACTGAAATTAACTGAAATTGAGATAGCATAAGTTTGAAGATATTTCTTTATATACATTGAAAACCAAATTAAATTACAGGTTCTATGGAAGAGGAGCCAGTGCTCTTAACCACTGAGCCACCTCGCCAACCCCACATTTTAATTGTTATACATTCATACTCACTCAGCCATGCCATAGTCGGATGACCAAGTGACCCCAAATGGAACACATGTGACTCCTAGTTGTGCGCTGACAGCCCTTTAATACATGAAAGACTGGAAGGCCGCAGTAGTATGTTTATTTCCTGCATAACAGAAAGGATTCAGAGGCAAGCTTTTTTGATATGCTTGCTTATGAAATATCCTAAGACATTTGAGAAAAATAAAAAGAAAGGAAAGCCATGTATATTATTTGTATGTTGATCAATAAATCTTGCTTGAGGAAGAGAGTCAAAGCTAACGTCACTAGAGATGACACACACTTTTAATCCCAGGATTCTGGAGAAAGAATCAGATGGATCTCGGTGAGATCAAGGCCCCTCTAGGCTCCACAAGACCAACGCAGAAACAAATACAGGTGGAGGTGCCTCACACCTTTAATCCCAGCACTAACGGGAATATAAAATGGGAGGAGAGAGAGGCTCAATTTACTTAGTTGGTTTAGTTTATGGTCCTCCAACCTTGGTAGAGTAAGACTTCTCTACTGGCTTGGCTGCCTTGCTTTTCTGGTTTTTGCGTTGAACCCAATTTCTGTCTCTGGGTTTTTATTATGCGTGCTACAAGTCAGTGTGACTATTACTAGCTGAAAAATTTTATAAACCAGATGGATGGCATTAGTTGCTGTCCTGACAAGAGCACTAAGTGAACAACAGCTGATGGCCTTAAGTGGCTAACTGTCTGGCTTCCAAGTTAAGTGGCGCTGCTCGCACAGGAGTCCCTCAGTCGGTTATGGTTTGTAAATGAGCAAAGTCAGATGGGAGGTGCTGTAAACCCTCTGCAGTCAGGAAATACAAGCACTAAAGGTCTGGGGAGGGAACTCCACTCTAAACTTTCTGGCTTAGTTTTGTTTCTTAAGCATTGTTTGTGAATGGCCGGTAGGCGTTACTAAGAGCTAATTTCCATTCCAGCAAAATGAAAAGAACTGACTCCACAAGTCAGTCTCTCTCTCTCTCTCTCTCTCTCTCTCTCTCTCTCTCTCTCTCTCTCATGCACACACACAATAATAAAGAACACTTGCTCCACACTCTTGGGACCAAAGGAACAATAAAACCCAGACCCAGTGATTTCATTATGACGGGACTTGGGAGCAGATGGTTGTGAGCCACCACACAGGTGCTGGGAGCTGAACCTTGGCCCTCTGGAAGAGCCAGTGTTCGTAACCACTGAGCCATCTCTCAGCCCTGTCCTAGTTGTAAGATCAAGACGAACTGAAGAAGACAATAAAGTCATAAATATTTGTTAATATTTTTGGTTTGTTTTTGTTTTTCGAGACAGGGTTTCTCTGTGTAACAGTCCTGCCTATCCTGGAACTTGCTTTCAGACCAGGCTGGCCTTGAACATCTGCCTGCCTCTGCTTCCCTGGTGCTGGGATTAAAAGCAAGTTCCACCACCGCCCGGCTACCAACAATCTTTTCACATGTACATGTGTGCCCTTGGGTCTCCTGAATGGCAGGCCATTCTGGAACTTGCTATGCATCTGAGGCTGGGTTTGAACTCCTAATTCTCCTCTGTGGTGGTCTGAACAGGATATTTCCCCCTTAGGCGTGTCACCCCTGGTTCATGGTGCTGCTTGGGAGGTTATGGAACCTTTAGGAGGTGGAACCTTGCTGGAGGATGTATGTCACTGGGGGGATGTATGCCTTTGGGGGTCTATAGCCTCACCCCACTTCCAGTTTGCTTTCCTTGCTTCTGGCAGGCACACAGAGACGTGATCTCAACTTCCTGTTCCCTGCCCTCATACCCACTGTGTCCTGCCCCTCCCCGCCATAATGGACTCTTAACCCTCTGGAACGGTAAGCTTCCATGAGTTTCATTACAACAACAGAAAACTGGACAGGCCTGGTTAATCTTCTGTCTTTTAAAACTATTCATCATCAATGGGTAGCAGATGCAGCGCACTGGTAGAGGACTGCTTGCTTAGTGTGTGTGAGGCCCCAGACCTGATGCCCACCAGTGCCCCCCAGGACACTCATGGATGCTAACTAAACTGGGTGAGGTGGCCCGTGCCTGTCTGTGATCCCAGCATCTGGAAAGTGAACAAGGGAATCTGAAGTTCAGGTCATCCTTGGCTAGATACTTAACTTTAAGCCTGGGCTACATAAAACCCTGCCTCAAAACAACAGAAATGTTGCACACTCAGGAACCACTGAGCTAAGGTCAGTTCCAGTGAAAGTGTTAACCAAGCAGAAATGATGGAGATGAATCATCAGCCACAGAATCAGTGCTGAGGCCAGTGAGAGGGCTCAGCAGGTGGCGGTACTGGCAACCTGAGCTTCACCCCCAGGACTGAGGTGGTGGAAGGAGAGAATCAACTTCTTCAAGTGGTCCTCTGATCTACGCAAGTGCCATGGGACAAGCACACACACACACACACACACACACACACACACACACAGCTAAATGGTCAATTTTGTGTTCTGAATATTTCACTTCGATTTTAAAAGTGAGTGATGATAATAATCTGACCTCTCCCACTGTTTCAGGAATGTGATGAATGACTCTCAACAGGGACTTGCCATTTTATAGCAACCTCAACAGGTGGCAGCGAACGTACCCACGATCAAGGTGATGCCCATGCTCAGGGAGCTGACCCAGGCAGTCAGGCCGCGGCTCTGGTGGAACTCTTCAAGCCATTCCACGTTGAGGACTCCCAAGGCCATCTGTGAGCCCATGATGAGAATGTGCACAAAGAAGGAAGAAAGGATCATCATCCAGGCCCACCCGCCGTCGATGTCTGGGTGGGGCTTCAGTATCTTCTTAGCCTTGGGATCATCTTCAAGGTCATACCCGATATCCTCATGGCTTGCATACATTTTCTAGGATTTCTGAAACACACAATAAGAAAGTTCAGCACACACCGAAACAGAAAAACACCTTCCTCGGCTTTGGACAGCTCTGCCTCCCACTGACATCAAAGTGGCTTCAGGGTCAAATGATCCCCAGATTTGTCTTTGTCACTGAAGTCCTAGGGACATACTTTACTTCTTCACAGATCACCTTAAAATCTGTCTTTAGCCTGTTGTGGTGACACACGCCAGTGGGATTTGCTGAAGGAGGTGGAGGCAGAAGGATCACGGGTTTGAGGCTAACCTGGGCTAAAATTTGTCTTTATAATCACCTCACAATATTATAAAGTTAAGGAAGAGAGAAGTGAGGGTAGGGAGAGAGATGGACGAAAGGAGAGAGAGAGAGAGAGAGAGAGAGAGAGAGAGAGAGAGAGAGTCCCCTGGATGTGATGGGTAAGACAGACCAGTCTTGATAACATCTGTTCTCTGAGTAAATAGTGGGGATGGCAAGTCAAGCCCTGTAGATAGTTTGCTTGTTTGTTTTTTGAGGCAGTGTTTCCCTGTAGCTTTGGAGCCTGTCCTGGAACTAGCTCTTGTAGACCAGGCTGGCCTTGAACTCACAGAGATCCACCTGCCCCTGCCTTCCGAGTGCTGGGATTAAATAGGCATTGCCCGGCTGAGCCCTATAGTTTAATGTCTTTGGTGAACTAGGGAATTAGCTCACCATCTGAGAATGGTGAGTGTAGAGATTGTAAAGGGTCCTAATGTTTAGGATAACAGAAGCAACCGTTGCCTGCCAGTGGAAATGACTGTTGGGAGGTTAAAGTCAAGAGGTGCATGCACCACTGCAGGCTTGGAGCCGGGGAGCATCCGGGAGCCGGCAGGATGCCTGCTACCCCAGCGCCTGTACAGGTGGAGCATGGTATATAGCATGGTATATAGACTGAATATGGACACGGAGAACCTAAAATAACATCAAATGAATATTGTGCTCGGGAGACAGAGGCAAACAGCTACACAGAGAAACCCTGTCTTTAAAAACAAAACAAGAAGTAGTGAAAAGAGCAAAGCTGTGTGGTGAAAGGCTCATCTGGAGAGTGGCATTTTCAGTTGGTACATACGAAAACGTTTCGCTCCCTTTGACTATTTCCTTTGAATTTGAAATCAACTTTGATTTTTGCTAGAACAGAAGGGATGTGGCTTAGCGGTAGTGCACTGACTCAGCATGAGTGAAACCCTGGGTTTGCCCTCCAGTACGAGGGAAACCAGGGGCTGGACAGATGTCAGTGGTTAGGAGGACCCTCCTTTGAGTCAGCAGGAGTCATGAAGCTTACAACTGCCTGTAACCCCAGTTCCAGGGCATCCAGTGCCGCCTTCTGGCCTCTGCAGGTACTGCAGACACGGTACACAGACATTCAGACCCACATGCGTACATACACAATGAATTTCTTTTAAATAAAAGCATCTAAAAACATAACAAGTATGCAAAAAGGTGGAGATCAATCAAGACACTTGACATTGATTTTTTTTTTCGAGAGAGGGTTTTTCTGTGTAACTCTGGATGCCCTGGAACTCACTCTGTAGACCAGGGGCTGGTCTCCAACTCATGGAGATCTGCCTGCCTCTGCCTCCCTAGTGCTGGGATTAAGGGTATGTGCCACCACCACCCAGTGACATTGATTTTTGATCTCCTTGACAAAATGTGCACACACCTACACACACATGCACATAAACACCGCCATGTACATACACAAAATAAAATGATAGTTTTCCAATCCACAGAAAAGTACCTGAAATATTAAGTATTTTTCTGTGGCAGTGTTAAGAACCATATATTCTTACTGAATTATTTATTTTATGGGTTAACAATGTGACTGCCATGGAATTGCTCTGGGCATTTGCAGTTTCTTTGATCATACATGAATGTTGGTGAGTAGCATGTAACGGACAGTTTTATGCAAGAGGCCCAAGTGTGAAGACAGAAGATGGCATTGTATGCAGACAACTCTGGTTGAACGGAGGTGGAGTAAATAGCTGACTGAGACCTCAGGGGCCCCGCCTGATCTCCCTGAAAGAACGCATGAAGAGGTATAGTGGAACGTGCCTGCAATTACAGAAAACGGTAGGCTGAGACAGGCTGATCGCTGGGAATTTGAGACCAGCCTCGGGTACACAGTATTTGTCTTAAAAAAAAAAGCCTGGGAAACAGAACAATATTATGGTGCATGCCTGCAACCCTAGCATGTGGGCAACAGAAGGATCGGGTGTTCAAGGCCAGCCTCACTATACAGCAAGTTTGAGGACAACCTAGGTCTCAAGAGATCCCCCTTTCAAGAAAAAACAAACACAGAAACAACAACAACAAAATCCGAACCAAGCACATAGTAAACCAAGTATTTGCATTTTGAACTTATACCTTTCAAAGAGCGATCATTCCTTGGCTTCACAGTGCCTTATCCGACTATGTCACTAAATTGAAAGTCTACAGGAAAACAAGTGTTTAGTCTGGTGCGATCTGACTATTTCCTCCCAAGCTCATGTTGAAACCTAACTGTTACTGCAACCATAGTAACAGGTGGGTCCTTTAATAGGTATATGCCACAGGGCCCCAAATTCAGGAATGGATTAAGGCCACTGTCCTTGGAGTGGGTTAGCTGTCTTGGGAATGGGTTCCTGATACAAAGGGGATGGTTGTGTCTTGATATTTAGCTTGATGCCCTTTTCTAGTCTGTACCCCAACCCATTACTGCATGCACACAGTACACACATACGTGTGGACAAAATAATCACACACATAAAATACATTTTTTTAAATATTTATTTATTTATTATGTATACAATATTCTGTCTGTATGCCTGAAGGCCAGAAGAGGGCGCCAGACCTCTTTACAGATGGTTGTGAGCCACCATGTGGTTGCTGGGAATTGAACTCAGGACCTTTGGAAGAGCAGGCAATGCTCTTAACCACTGAGCCATCTCTCCAGCCCCCATAAAATACATTTTTTAAGGGAAGCTGGAGAGATGGCTCAGCAGTTACAAGCACTTGCTTCTTTGGCAGAGGGTTTACTTCCCAACATCCACATAGTGTGACTCATAACTGACTGGAGTTCCCTGGGACTCGATGACATCATCTGGCCTCAGAGGAACATCATGGCACACACACAGACAAGCAGGCACATACAACACACATTTAAAAAACGCGAAAGGTCTTTAAAAAAATTAAGAGTAAATAAATAGAAGTCATAAATGAGGATGGAGTGACATTGAAGTGACAGATATAGGCTACACAGTGGAGGAATGGGGAAAGTGAGAATGTCAGCTTTTTTTTCTGGAGCGTACCATATATTAAAATATGGTTAACTTTTTACAGTTCCGTCATGGGAGGAATTTTTACAAGCAGGTTGTTCATTTTTTTAATTGGGCTGTCACTATGTCTAATTCGATGAACTAATTATAATGATAAGCAAAAGGGGGTGCGTGACAAGTGAAAACTAAAATTGCAATCTCTTCCCAAAGGGGTAGGCTGAATTCTTCAACCCTAGTCTAAAACAGTTTAACACTGGGCATTTCAGGCCAGTAGAGGGCGCGCTAGAGACCAAGATGCCCCTGAGCTGAAAAGGAGGCAGCTCAGCTGACTTTATATTGGGTTGTAAAGGGTGCATGCGTGCGTGCGTGCGTGTGTGTAAGAAAATGGGCCAGGGCTGTGCTCTGTGGTTTTTGCCACGATGGTCTTGGCTGGTTGGTATCGAGGTCCCAAATGACCCAATTTTACAGATTAAGACAACTTAAACGTCTGTGTGTTTGACCGGATCTCAGGTAGCCCAGGCTGGCCTCAGGTTGAAGGATGACCTTGAACTTCTCACCCCCCTGCCAGATGAGTGTTGTATTACAGTGCTGGGTTTAGGAAGTGCTGGGGGAATTGAACCCAGGGGCCTTATGCATGCTAGGCAGACACCCTATCAACAGAACTACATCCCCAGTCCTGAAAGTGAGACAGTTGTTTAATGGGTGCCCTGTGAAGTTCAAATATGAACAGACCTATAATCAGTCTCAACCTCTTCTCCAACCCCCTCCCCTTTCTCCCTTCTCTTCTTCCCCTTTTTCCTTTGACCAGGAGAAGAAGAATCTTTCTGATTGCTAATAAGCACCTCCAGGTATCCTTGCTAATGAGCCTGAACCAACTTTTCTGCAGGAAGAAAGGGCTTAATTGGTAAGCAGAGATGAGCTCAAAAAACCCTGTCAGGCTGTGGAAGCCTCTGCCCTTTAATGGCTGTGCTGGATCTTCACTATCCCCTTTCCTCTCTGAAGATGCCGGATCCGAGCAGCTCCCGGGGGCTCAGCGTCCGCCGCCCAGGTCCACCCGCGCGAGATGCTACACCCTCCGAGCCTCCATCTCCACTAGGGGACCCAGACACAGAGACACCCGCACTCTCGGAGGTCGATAGCTGTAGCCCCATCACCGTCTACTTCAAGTAGTAAACTAGGGCCTCGAGAGCCCCTGAGCGCGAGGCCGGGCGCGGAGGTGACGCGAGCTCTGGTGCCCGGGTGGCGCGCGACGCCCTGGACGGTGCGCGTCCCCGCCTGCAGTTTGGAGGACGAGGGAGTACCACCGCCCTGCCCAAGTCCCTCTCTTCCCCCACCCTTTCCCTGGCTCTCGCCCCGTTGAGGGTCCCTGGAGGAGCCGCGGACACCAACCAGTATCGACCGGTATCTGCCAGTATCCGCCAGTTCGGAGATGCTCCAACCCTGCGGCAATCTCTGGCCTCAGCACAGCCCTAGGGTACTCACCGCACTCAGCCTGCAGGGCTACCGTCTCACTCGGCTCCTGGTCCCCACCCGTGAACTTGCAGCACTGTACCGAGAACCCGGGGCCGCTGGGCGTGGGGATTGGTGGCAATATCGACCAGCATCCTGCAGATGCGGCGCCTGGAGCTCGGCTCTCCGCCCTGCTCCGTGCGCTCGGTGCAGGGCTCCGGGACTCGCCCTCTGCTCGCTGTCTGGCCAGGTGAACCTCTGGAGCCTAAGGCTCGATGCTTCCGTCCCGTAGCCTTTAAAAAGGGTGCATTTGAAAGGGTCCGAGCCTACCCTGAGCTTTCTTCCAATTGGTGCAATTTCAGAGCTCCATGCTGGTTCATTCCTATACCGGCTAATTCTGGTTTGGCAGGAAAAAAAAAAAAAAAAATCCACGGGCTCCTCACAGGCACACTCTTGTGGCCGCTTGAAGTTTATCGCCTTGACTAAGATTTGTCAATGCTGTGCACATTTACAACCTTAGGAAATGGCCAGAAATCTCAGGGGTGTGGAGGACATCACAAGTATCTTTCTCCCCCTACCTCCCTGACTAGGAGGGAAGTGATGGACCAGACCTTCATATGTTTCGCGGCCGAAAAAGAGACATTTTAGAGCGAAGAGAAATCTCAATATTCAAGACCACAGTGGACTGAAAATCCCACATCTTTGTCCCGGCTTGGGTACCTCCTCTTTCCATCTTTCTGAAGTACCTATTATCTTCACTCATAGATGGGCAATGTAATGCTTTGTTCTCAGTTTTTAGTATTTTGTTAAATAAACGAAGCAAGCGTTCTTTGACCCAACCTGACCTGTTCCGTACTTTCCTACTATAAACGACCACAAACATAGTGGCTGAAAGCAACACAAATCATCATTTTACGTTTCTGGCAGTCAGAACCTGAAGTGGGCTTTACCGGGCTAAAATTCAGCACGTTGGCACTCTGCAGGCCTGTGTTCTTCCTGGCAGCTCTAGCTGAGCCTCCAGCTTCTGCAGGCTGCCCACATGCCTTGGCTGGCAGCCACTTTCTCATCTTCAGAACCATCTACATTACATCATTCTGTCTGTCTTGGGTACTAGGTCACCCTCTCTCTATTGTTTGCCCCGCTCTCTTCCTTTTTCATTTACATTCTTTCAAACGTGTAAAATTTATTTATTGTGTGTGTATGTGCATGCAAGGCACAGTACTGTGTGGAGGCCAAAATGCAGCCTCTGGGAGGCAGTTTTCCTTCCACTCTGTGGGTTCCTGGGATTAGAGGGCTTGGTGCAAAGCCCCTTTCCTGCAGAATATTCTCTCCAGTCTCTTGTCTTCCACTTAGGGTTATCTTGATTCTGCCTGGATAATTCACACATCTATTTTAATACCAGCTGACTAGCAATGTACTTCCATCTGCTACCTTGATTTTCCTTCTGCCATTTAAGGTCACATAGTCACAGGTTCCTGGGATCCAGATATAGATTTCCTTAGGGGAACCAACTATACTGGCCAGCATGGATTTCCTTTCCCCCCTCCTTCTTTTCCAGAAAACATTCTTGTGTATTTTATAGACTTGTTGACTTTATTTTTATATTTTTAATTTTCAAGAGACAGCGGTTCACGTGCCCCAGGCCGGCCTGGAAGTAGCTATGTGGCTGAGGATGGCTTTGAACTTCAGATCTTCCTGCCTCCACTCCCCAGGTCCTGGGATTATAGGCATATACCACCATAGCCACTTTCCGCAGTGCTAGAGATGAAACCCCGGACTTGGTGCCTGCTAGCAAGCGCACTTCGAGTTGAGCTCCGTTCCCAATCTTCTTGTGCTCATCCTAAGCACTGAGATGATCACGAGGAATGGCTAAATGAGGACATTTGCAGGAACACTTCTCTGATGATGACAGCGGAGAAATGCATGGGGAGTACTCTCTCAGGCTGATCTTCTCAGATGTCATGCATTCTGAACGGGCTTCTGACAGCACGTCAAGAGCGGGAAGACAGGTGTAGTGGCTCATACTTTCACTCCCAGCACTTGGGTGGTTGGGAAGTTCAAGGTTAGTCTGGGCTACAAAAGAGTGAGTTTTTTTTCCCCTTAAGGTGGAGAGTTCCAAGCAAGTATCTCAATACAGATGGATCCATCTGTTTTTAAAAAAAGAGCTGCTATGGATTGAATTAAGAGTGAGACATCCCCCGTATAGGCTCATGGTTCTGAGCACTTGGTCCTCAGCCATCAGTGTTGGTTAGGGAGGTTATGAAAGCTTGGGACACGTGGTGTGCTTAGCAGGAGTGAGTGGCTGTGGGAAGACTTTGAAGATTCTAACCGCTTCTGATGCTGGCCTGACTTCTCTACTTTCTGATCCACAAGAAGTAGAGAGATACTGACACATGCTCCTGTTGCCATAGGTGGAGCCTCTCCATGGTCACGCCCTCTTTGCCACTGAAGACGTAAGCTGTGAACCCTTGAACCAAAGTACCCACCCTCCCTTAAATAGTTTCTGCCAGCATTTTGTCATAGTGAAAAGGAAACTAACACTAGAGGTCCTATAAGATCAAGATCCCCTCTTGACCTCTTGGGCCTGGAATCTTGTATTTATAGGAGTGTAATTTATTGTAAATCTGGGGGAACCATCACCTCCATCAAATAACTCCCAAACCCTACCTGTGTCTCAATTTCTCAGATGTCCCCAGGCAGCTTCTTACCCACCCAATAAATCCATTTTTAATGTAAAAAATTGCAATGCAAGCCTGGCATGTTGTCCCACTTCTATAATCCTAGCACTCAGGAGGCAGAGGCAAGCAGATCTTTATGAGTTGGAGGCTGCCCTTACATACATAGTGAGTCCCGGGATAACAAGAACTGCACAGTGAGATCCTGTCTGAAAGAAAGAAAAAAATTATAAAATGCAATAAAAGGCACCCAGATTGGGAAGGGAAATGTAAAATTATCTTTAATTTCGGGTGATATGATTAGATATAGAAAATAATGGAAGTGTACGGAAACATTAGGGCTAGTCAATGGGCTCAATGAGGTCCAGTGCAGTTTCATTGGTAAAAGCTTCAAAAAAACTTTCAAGGCTGGGAACCAAGTTCAGTGAAGTACTATACTCTGAAAAGATACAGGAGGTTACTGAAAGAAACAGAAGAAAAACTGAATGAATGCAGGGCTGGAAAGATGGCTGCTCTCCTAGAGGACCCGGGTTCAATTCCTAGAACCTCTATGGCAGCTCACAACTGTCTATAATTCCAGTTTCTATGGCACCCCCACATACATGTAGGCAAAACACCAAATCCACATAAAACTAAATACATCTTTAAAAAATTGAATGAATGCATACATCTCTCTGGGTACCAGCGACCTCCAGTCCCAGGATTTTTCTGTAAGTCTGACTTGTCTGGTTGGGTCCACTGCAAGAGAAGGTCACATATATATTTTGCAGGACGAGTGTCAGTATTAGGAAACTCTTAACACTGCATGATTGGCCATGATGTAACCAAGGCACTGTCCTGTCCCTGTAGAGGCAGGTGAGCATGCACGGCAAAAACTGGGAGTGCATGGTGCTTAGGTATCTAAGTCAACTGGACCTGAGCAGAAAATAAACCCTTCCATTGTACATCTATGTAACTTGGCCATCAGCCCTAAAGTGAAGATAGCCGCAGTACTTACATCATAGAGTTATTGCAAAGGTTAAATGATACTGTGTGTCAAGCACCCTGCCCCCATATTGTTAAGAAACGTGTTTTTGTTTCTTTAATTTTTTTTAAAACTGGGCAGTGGTGGCATGTGCCTTTAATCCCAGCACTCAAGAAACAGAGGCAGGTGGATCTCTGAGTTCGAAGCCAGCCTGATCTACAGAGTGAGTTTCAGGACGGCCAGAGCTGTTACACAGAGAAACCCTTATTTTAAGGGTGTGTGTGTGTGTGTGTGTGTGTGTGCATGTGCACTTGTGGGTGCGGGTGCCCACAGAGGAGAGAGGTGCCAGATACCCTGGAGCTGGAGGTACAAGCAGTTATAAGCTGCTCATTGTGGATATGAGGAACCCAACTTGGGTTCTCTGTGGTAGGTGCTCTTAACCACTGGACATTCTCTCCAGTCTCCAGGTTGATTTTTTTCCCTCCTAAAGTAAAAATGGCCTACAAACTTTGTGGATGAATTTGTCCAACACTGGTGCCTTTTCCGTTTTGAATCAGGGTCTGGTTATATAGTGCAAGCTAGCCAGAAACTCACAATCATCCTGCGTCAGGCTTCCAAGTCCTAGAATTCCAGGCACTCACCACCATGCTCTATCACATTCCTTTGGTATCACAGTCCCTTTGAGAGGCAGCAGAAATCACCAGGGTGGTCATAAAACGTGGAGACTCATCTGGCACATCCTTTAAATCCCAGCACTTTTGAGACAGAGGCCAGGTAAATCTCTGTGAGTTCAAGGCCAGTCTGGTCTGAATAGCAAGTTCCAGGACAACTGGGGATACACAGCAAAAAGCAAAAAGCAAAAAACCCAACCAACCAAAAATCCCTGGAGACTCTTTGGACTCAGTGAAATTTCAGTTCTCATCATTTATTTCACATCTTTTCTTTGGGCAGGGCGTGGGAGTGGGGTCGTGTTTAATGTGACCTTAGTGATGAGCAATCGTAGAAGCCACTGAGATGGCTTTGTAGGAAGCGAAGCAAGACACTCAACAGGCCAACAGGTGATGTTGCTAACTAGGATTTACACACCAGTGGGAAGTTGACAAACCAATTTAAAGACTATTGGCAACTGCTGACGCCTTCGGCAAGCAGAACGGGTAAGAAGCCATCACTAAATGCCTAAATCACCACAATGTACAGGTTTACAAAAACTAGCTTAAAAACAAGACTCTTGGGCCCTGCTGATACTTGGCTCTTGGGAGAAAGAACATTTTATGTTTAATCTCTCTTCCTCCTACTGTAGTTTCATGTGAGGGAAAAGTAATTATTTCTTCCTCGTATTAGTTTTCAATGTTGATTTGTCAGACTTCACTTCTGACAAGTCTGGGCTATCACTCATCGTGATGAAAGGAAATGCTGCAGGCCAGAGGGCTTAAGCGAGGCTGTGTTGACTGACACTCTGCACACCTTTTAATGATTCCTTTTAGTCAAGATGTAGTGGCGCACACCTTTAATCCCAGCACTTGGGAGTCAGAGGCAGGAGGATCTCTATAAGTTCGAGGCCACCTTTTTCTATACATAGTGATTCCAAAACAGCCAGGGCTACATAGACAGATCCTATCTCAAAAAACCCAACATCTATGTGTCTTTTGTTTGTTTTTATGAAACAGAGTTTATCTGTGTGGCCCAGGCTGTCCTGGAACTCACTCTGTAGACCAGGCTGGCCTTGAACTCATAGATAGTTGCCTGT